GTCGAGGTCGAGGTCGTGGCCGTGGTCGAGGTCGTGGCCGTGGTCGAGGTCGTGGCCGTGGTCGAGGTCGTGGCCGTGGTCGAGGTCGAGGTCGTGGCCGTGGTCGAGGTCGAGGTCGTGGTCACGGGCTCACTGTTGGTGGATTTCGGCTCGCCCTGCCCGGTTGCTGCTTCGAATGGTCCGACCGACCCCATGCGCGCCCTGGAGGCGTCGCTACACACACCCACTCAAGGGTATGAGGCACGAAAGCTCAAGGAAGCCAGAAGTCTTTGTTTGGCTGGTTCCATTGAGGAAATCCTGCACTCGGGACTGAACTTCCTTGCTCCCCAGCTTTTCGAGGTAGTCGGCCAGCTTCTCGGTGTGGTTGATGAGAGCGTTTGGGCCATGCTGATGCAGGGAAACGAGAGGACCCACCGTAGTCGTCAATTTACGCTAGAAGAGCTCGTACAAGGCTTGGCACGCCACCCTCGCCTCCACCGTATCAACTCCGCCCGACACAGGCCGCACCCTGCTATGGCCCAGCGTGGGTATCGCCGCCAGCCGCCCAAAGAGGCCGCGTCCAGCTGCGCGGACAGGTGCACTCTGCGCTCGGAGGCGGCGGCCCGGCTCTGCTCGCCTGGCCGACGTCATTCTACTATCTGTTTGTCAAGGGCATTGCCGTCTTGGCCGCAAACGCCAAGCCCATCCCGCGCCCGCTGCTCTGCGGCTTTCTCAGCACGCCCTGTGTGGCGCAGTGTGGACTTGACGACGCCGAAGAGACGGAACATCTGCTCGCCTGCCTCACCTTGGTCAATATTGACCATCGCGATCAAGGCCTCCAGCTTGCGACGTCCGAGGAGATCATCCAGTCCAGCTTTGTCTGGACTTTCCATCGTCACTTTGTAACAGCTTGCGCCAACCTCAGGAGCCATCTGTTTGTCAAGAGCCGGGTGGAGCCTCTGAGCCACGTCTTTGAAGAGGTCGGTCGATTTACGATGGAGAACCGTCGTCTGTCTATGAACGAGAGCAGTGAGCTTGCAGAAGCCGCTGCTGCCATCCAGCATAACAACATAGACATGGACCGGCAAGTCAAGAGGCAGCAAGAAGAAGTCAATGACGCTTGACAACGTGCTTGAATCTCGTACTTTGCCCTTATCAAACGAGCCATCGACGTGATGCTGCAAAAGTTGTACACTCTTTTGCGCACCAAGTTTCTCGAGGGAAAGAGCATCAAGGATGCAACTGCTCAGGCGCAGTGGCGGATCCTGCTCGAGGCAGCCGTCATCGCCGAGGTCGAGGTCAAGGTGGCTCGACGGAAGAAGCGCCAAGCTACAATCCCATCGACGTTTCCGATGCTCCTTCCCCGCTTCCTGGCAGCTGCAACGCTCCTATCGAGGTGTCCGACTTACCACGCAGCCTCGGTCGGCATCGCTCGCATCGCCTCGCCTGTCCTGGTTGTCGATGCATGTGCGGCACCAGCACCTCATCACCTCCGGCGCCATGCGCTTTGCTTGGCTCGCCCGCGCGCCCGTCCTCCGCAGCAGGGGCGCGCTCGAACCTGTAAGGAGGGCGAAGCACTCCACGCCGCATCGCTCCACGTCAAGGGGCCCGACGTCGCAACAACAGTATGTTGTCACTGTGCAGGGCGAGGTCGAGGTTTGAGATAATGGCGTCGTTGGGGATCTTGCCTTTGGAGGCGGTCGTCAAGATCAAGGAGGACATTGTGAAGTTGGCGTTGGAGCGAGGTGAACCATCTTTGCTGCCCTCGCCAAGCTTGTCGTCACCGTCGACGATTCAATTGCATCGCCCGACCGAGTTGACCAACTGAGCCGCCTCTCACTTCGGTCGCAAGACTTCGGCCGCGCGAATTGAGTGAATGCATCGCCACGTCGTATGCAAGAGTGCGTTGCTGCGTGTGTACGCTCCCGCGCCGGCCTGGTTGATCGGCTGCGTTTGGCGAGTGCTAAACGCTTGGCACTGCGCCGAGCGGGTTCAAGGACTTGTGTCTCTCGCGTCGTCGCATCAACGCAAAACAAGTCCATCGACCCGAGAGTGAATCGCTCGGCGCCCACACACGAAGCCTTGGAGCAGCGTGCGCAAACTCGCTTGAATGCTCCTGCCCGGTGCAACACGAAACTGAATTCGCTCGACTCGTTTCTCACAAGGCCATTTCGGTGCGGATATCTACGAACTCCGCGTCTCCAGCCGCAACACCATTTGTGCGCACCGACATTCGCACCGACGTTCGCACCGACGTTCGCACCACGCTCGCGACACATTCACGTGGCACCTTCCAGTCTTCATTCAGTAGCGCATTCGGATATCGTGGTTTGAAAAAGAAATGCCATTCCGCAGCTCGGGCTTACTCTGCAATACCTTTGAGCTTGTTGCCCAAGACCAGGAAGCTCTCGTAGCTGGTTTCGGTGCCGGTGTAGTTCACCTTGAACTGCTGTACGCCGGCATAGGACTTGATGGCCTTCCTCCAATAGCATGCAGCACTGGCGGGACTGATGTACCTCTCCCTAAAGAAGCTCCACTGATTATCGGCGATCCTCTTTGCGCGTGCGTCGTCCTCGAGTAGCGAGTCCATGACTTCGGGCAATCGCATCCAGGTTCTATCCCTGAAGACCTGGCCGCGGTCATCCTGGACCTCGGTGCCCGGCTCGGTACCGGTGTACTCGGGCACAAAGACGATGTTCTGATCGGGCGATTCCGGATCCGGATTGTAGAGGTGCGTCCAGTGTTGGATCCACCGTGGCTCGTGCGTGACGATGACGGATCGACAGTTTTGAAGGTAGCGCAAGCGACCGGAGTAGGTCATGCCTTCGGGGAATGCGTGGAACTTCCACTTGCAGTGGTCAGCCATGGAGACGAAGCCTTCGCGGTTGCCCCAGTCGAGCGGCTTGACGTCGTTCCAGGCGTGGTTCTCGGCGGCGGCGAGCAAGGCCTTGCGGTCGGCGGTGCCGACGCTCATGGCGCCGCGCCAGAAGAGCTTGCTGATCTTTGCGCTCCAGGGCGTTGCGTTTTCGAGCTCGAGCGTCTTTTCGCGGTGCTCGGTGTATGAACCGATGCCGGGCTCAGGCCAGCTGTAAAAGCCGTAGTCTGGCATGAGCCAGAGGTCGACGAGGTAGGGGGCGCGGTCGAGCGAGAACTTGCCCATGCTGCCCCAGTCGTTGGCGGAGAGGCAGAATTCGGCGTCGGGCAGCTTCTCGCGTGCGCCGGTGACGGACTGGAAGAGCAGTGCGAGCGCCGAGTTGACGCGGGTGAAGGGCGACTGCTGGAAGTACTTGAGGTAGACGCGGTTATTGTGGATGAGCACGCGGGCGTGCGACCAGATGCCGTCGTCGCACACCTTGTCGAGGTACTCTGCGGTGAGCGGATGCTCGGTGTAGTAGTCTACGCTGCGGTCGATCTCCTTCCAGAGGCCGGGGAAGAAGGTGTCACACTCGTCTTCGGTGAGTGTGAGGTCCTCGGGGTTGAAGGGCGAGTCGTAGTGCAGATCTGCGCGTCCGGAGCCGTTGAGCCAGCGGCCAAATTCGTTGCCATCGACGTCGGTGACTGAGGAGAAGCCGGTCTTGGAGGGCTTGGATTTGCCCCACGACCACGACTCGGAGGTGATCCTGCCTGCATATTCGCCCGCCTTTGCCTTCCAGGTAGCCGATGTTTCCGAGTCGGAGGAAGCAAAGCCGAAGAAGACGAGGAGGGTGAAGAGGGCGGCTGCGATGAGCGCCCAGCGTGTGCGTGCGCGGCCAAAGCCGGCGGTAGCGGAGGAGGTGCGGGTATCTGAGATGGTGGAAGGGAGCGGTGTGTTGGTGGGTACGCGCACGTACTTGTTCAGGAGGCCCGACATGGCTGGCTGCTAGGCACGCGGGCTGCGCGCGAACCGGCAGCAGAGGATGCGACGATCGGCTGGTGTGAGTGTGATTGGCTGTGTGCAGGCAAGCAAGCTATGAAAGCCGGCGGTGCATGGCCGTGTGTGGGGGGGCGGCTTTTGTGAGGTGTCGCCAGGGCCAGAGTGAGTGTCGCGAAAGTGGTGGTGATGGGTTGCGATGTCGGCTGCGGAATGGCGCTGGAGGATGGTGGTGGAAGGAGTGGCTGGTGTGGCTGCAAGCAGTGGTGTGAAGGCAATACCAGAGCGATGATGGTTGCGATGCACGTCTGCGTGGGCGGAGTCTCCGCTCTCACGTTGATGCCGCCCGCTCGCGGCCAAGAATTTCGAGGCGCGCCAGCTGAGCGACGGTTCATTGCAACGTTGGCGGTGGCGCGCAGGCGGAAAATCGCAGCTGTCAGTATATGGCTGCTCTAACATTTAGCGGATTTCGCTTCGAGTCAGCAGCTATCCTCCACCTTCTCAAAGTGTCACGAGCCAACAACACCTTCGAACCAGCCTTCCCACCTCACCATTCCATCCTAGACCCTCATTCATCATGGCGTCCTTAACCCAGGCACATTCCACCGTCAAGGATGCGCCCGACACAGCGCCTATCCGCAGCATCCTCGACACGGATCTGTACAAGCTCACCATGCAGCAGGCCGTACTCCGACACTACCCCAAGGCCCGCGTCGCGTACAAGTTCACCAACCGCTCGGCGTCGTCGATGAAGTTCACGCGCGCCGCCATCGAGCGTATCCGCACACACGTCCACAGCCTCGTCGACCTTACGCTCACGACCGCAGAGCGCGAGTGGCTCGAACGCACATGTCCCTATCTCCGCCCCGACTATCTGGACTACCTGGCTGGGTTCCGGTTCGACCCGTCCACACAGGTTCAGATCGAGTTTGTGCCCTCGTATACCGATGCACAGGGGTGCGAATGGGGAGATTTGGGGCTGAGGGTGCAGGGTGTGTGGGCCGAAGTCATCTTTTACGAGGTGCCGCTCATGGCGATTGTGTCCGAGGTGTACTTTAGCACCGTCGATACCGAGTGGTCGCTCGAGGGCCAGTACGAGCAGGCGCGGTCGAAAGCAGCCAGGCTCGCCTCGAACGGCATCCGCTACTCGGAGTTCGGTACGCGCAGGAGACGATCCTACCAGACCCACCGCACAGTCATCCAAGGCCTGCTTGCGGGCGACCGCGATGCAGCCTCTTCTGCCGCCACGACCAAGGGCAAGCTGCTGGGAACGAGCAACGTGCACTTTGCGCAGATGTTCGACTTGGTGCCCGTGGGCACGGTTGCGCACGAATGGACCATGGCCGTAGCTGCGCTCGAGGGATATGCGCATTCGAACCTCAAGGCTCTTCAGCTGTGGGATGCAGTCTATTCGCCGCCGGACTTTGTGCCCAACAGCCCCACGCACGACCTCACGATTGCGCTCACCGATACCTTTTCCACCAGCGTATTCTGGAACGATCTGCTGCACAGTGCACACGGCATCGAGATCGCCAAGCGATGGCGAGGTCTGCGTCAAGACTCGGGCGACAGTCGTGCATTTGCAGACCGCGCACTCGCCGCCTACAAGAGCATCGGCGTGGATCCGAGCACAAAGGTCGTCATCTACTCGGACGGACTCGACGTGGAGCGTTGCATCGACCTCGCCGCCTACTCGAAGCAGATCGGAATCGGCGCAGGATTCGGGATCGGCACTTCGTTCACCAACGACTTTATGCGCAACGCTACCACCAAGAGCAAGCCGCTCAACATCGTCATCAAACTCGACAGCGTAGAGCACCGACCCGTGGTGAAAATCTCGGACGACCTCACCAAGAATACCGGCGATCCTGCCGAGGTGCTGGCGGTCAAACGCAGATTCGGAATCCCCACCAACCCAACCACCTCGACGAGTGTCATTACGGACATTGCGCTTGGAAGCACGGTTGAAATCCAAGTCGAAGACGCCTAGTTCGCCTTTTTTGCTTCAAATAGATGATCATTGATTTATCGATACGCAGCGGGTGTGGAAGAGATCGCGCCCATGGAGCCACGAAGACTGCGCAGTGCACGGTCGACTTCGAAGCTCTCGTCGCCCAGGAACGTGTCGTTTGCGTCGTCCTGCTCGAAGCTCACCTCTGGCTCCGTCCACGATGCTGCTGCTGGTGTGACGGATCGCGAGCGCAATGACGATGGTGAGGGTGACGCGCGCGGTGCAGCTCCCGAGTGACGCGCCCGGAACGCCGCCAGTGGCGACGAGCTCGCTGCTGCTGCCACTCCAAACTCGTGCGTAGCCGGTGTGCTCGCCCTAGCTGCAGCGACAGGCGACGAGCCCGGACTCGAAGTGCGTCGCAATGACGGCGAGAACTGCGAGTAGTCCATGGACGCCGATGCATTCGCTGCGGCTTGTGTGGGCGAGTCGCGCTTTGGGTGCGAAATGGGCGAGCCGGGTCCAATGTTGGAGGTGCGTGTCTTGGGTGAGCCCCTCATCCGACTGGCCGCCACAAAGTTGATCGACTTGGCCACTTGCGGTGACTGGAATCCCAGCACCGCACCCCGACCCACCGCAGCGCCGGTGGCAGCGCCATTGGCAGCGGGAGCCGTCAAGGTAGAAGAGGTGGAGCGACGCATGAGCACTGTGGCTTCGACGAGGTTGAACACGAGCACAACGCTGATGGCCCACAGGATCCACGCCACGATGGCGTCGACGAGCTCGTCGGTCGTTCCGCCCACGTGCATGTACACCAGGTCGAGCACGTACCAGTATGCGTCGCGCGGCCGACTCGTTAGCGCCGGTACGATCCACAGCAGGCACAGCGCTCCCAGATTCCATTTGAGCCGACGCGACAGTGCGATCGAAGACGCGCCGCCCGACGCAGACGGCGTGCGAACGGGCACGCTGGGCGGCGCGGCGGACGGTTTGGCAGCCGACGCAGCGGGACGCGGAGACTGCGCTACGGTCGAAGATGTGGAGATGGCGGCAGGCGAGCCGTACGTGGGCCGGGCTGGAGTAGAAAAGGTGTTGGCTGGCGGCTGGTGCGCAGTTTGCTGCTGCGGCGCGAGAGGCTGGTTCTGGAATCGCACCGCCTTGGACGAAGCGTCCGACGGCGTCAGCGCCTGCGAGTATGCCGGGTGCGTCGAGGTCGAGGCGCGCACGGGCGTGGCGAAGCCATACGCAGACTGCGACGCGCTGCGCCCTGGCGAGGCGGTGGTGTACATTGCTGTTCGTGCTGCTGGACGTGGATGGAGGGAGTCAAAGCTGTCAAAGCTGTCCGTCGTCGTCGCCTCAAATTGTCCACCCTCAAAGGAATCGGCAGTCGGGAGTGCGGCTTCCAAATGTTGATTTCGTTCAAAACTGTCAGATCGCACTCTTTTGCGGGTTTGGGACGCGCCCAAAAGGCGGCACGTGAGCGAGATGGCCTGTTGACCCTCCACAGCTGCTGCGAGAAGGGGGCGGCACTTTGGCTCAGCCCCTGAGCGAGCGCGCGAGACCAACACTTTGGGCTCGAAGTGCATTGCATGCAACTGCCTTCCCCGCTCAATTCCCCCCACCACCATCACTTCCCCTTCCGCCGTCTCCTCGCGCATATACACACATCACCATGGCCAGTCGCGGCACCGCAACCTCTTCCGCCGCCGCGTTCCTAAACGCAGGAGCCTCCACCTCCTCACCCCGCAAGCTCGGCAACCATCCGCGTCAGTCGTCGTCGGCGCTCTATACCGCCTTTTCGCCCAAGCAGATCCAGGGCTTCAAGGAGGCGTTCAACATGATCGACACCGATTCGGACGGTCTCATCACCCAGCGCGACATCGCCGCCATGCTCGGGAACCTCGGCGTGGACGCATCGCCACCGGCACTCCAGGCGTACTTCAAAAACAACGCCAACGCAGGCGTCAACTTCACCCAGTTCCTCACCATGTTCGGCGAGCATCTCGCAGAGCTCGACGACCAGACCGTGCTCATGGAGGCCTTCGAGTGCTTTGACGAGAAGGACGTCGGCAAGATCGATGCGCACGAACTCAGGTTCTGGCTAAGCCAGGTGGGCGATAAGATGTCCGACGCCGAAATCGACCGTCTGCTCTCCGGCCCGTTTATGGACAAGGCCGGAAAGACCTTTGACTACAAGGCGTTTGTAGAGGCCGTCAAGATGTCCGAACCTGCCGAAGTCGAGTAGTGCCCCGCCTCAAACCACCAGCGTCCCTCTCTCGCCCTTGTCTCGCCCCTATTCTGTATTTTAGCCCGCGACTCCCCAGAAACGACTCTTTCTTTGCAACACCGGCCAACGACATCAATTAACTTACGACGCGGTGCTACTCGACATCCGCTACTGCGTGCGAGGAAGCTGGCTTGACTGGATGCTTGCTCTTTGACTTGATGTCCTACGCGGGTTCCTCGGTGGTGCTTCCGGAAACTCGCAGACTTCGATCGACTTTGCGCCGGTTCGGAGGGCAATATGCGTTTGTCTCGCGAGTGCGTTGGCCCACCGCGCGGCTCTATCCGCCTGCTTGCGATACGCATTAAGGCGGCTCCCGTCGTTTCGGTTCGAGATGCCTAGCGAGGAGAGTGTGGATTGGAGTCGATCGTTGAGCAGCTGCACGTGTGTGTGGGTCTGGGAAATCAACAGCCATGCCTGCGCCAGCCCATTCACATCGTCCACTGCAAGCGCCTCCAGCGACGCATCTGCCGAAGGCATAGCGGGCATTAGTATCGATTCAAGCGAGCTGAAAGCATGCGCATTAACCACGGGTGGCGAGGTTGCAGCCAAGCTGCGTGGTGCCACGGTGGACGCAGACTGCGTGCGAAACAGACGCCGTGCTCCTGGTCGAATCACGGACGTATCCTCTGCATCCACATCAATGGCGGTGCTTGAGCGGCGCTGAGCGCTCACAACCACATTGTCGTCATCCTTCGTAGTAGATCGTCTTGCTTTTATGACGAGTGTTCGCGTCTTCTCCTCCGCCAACACAGCTGCCTTTCTCTTTGCAGGACTGGCGAGAGGCAGTGACGAATCGGTCGAACTGCCACGGCTGGTCCGCCTTGTTCTCTCGGGGCTAGTGCTCTTCGTCCTCTCCCACCGTTCTGGTGGGTCGATCACCGGCATCATGAAGTACTCGCTTCTCAGCGTGTCGGATGGCGGCTCGTGTACGGCCTCCAAATAGCCCGAGCTCTGACTGCCCTGGCTTGGGTTCGGGTGCACTTGTTCGTCGCGACGAGCTGCAAGTGCCGTCAGCTGCGATAAGCTTGAAGGTCGTATATCCTGAGCAAGTGTCGGATGCGATGGTTCCCGCTGCGATGCCACCGAGCTTTGACCGCGCTGGCTTTGGTGCGAGCGTGAGCGTGAGCCTGCAACTTGTCCGTTTGGAAGCACTGCAGGTGCCTCGGCAGGCTGGCTTCGAGTTCGCATACGTCGATCAGGTGTTGGTTGCGATGAGCTTGGAGGTCGCGCAGGTGTCGGCTGCGAGGGCGCCCCCGAACTCTGACCGCGCTGGTGTGGGCTCGAGCGTGCCCTTTGTTCGTGGCTTGGGCTCGGACCTCCCACTTGTCCGCGGCTTGGGCTCGAGCGTGTCACTTGTCCCTCGCGACGCATTGGCGCAGGTGCCCCGGACTGCTTGCTTTCAGACATTGTCCGCTTTGTAGGCGTTTGCTGCGATGGGCCTGGAGGTTTCAGACCCTGAGCAGGTGTCGAACGCGACGAGCTGGGAGGTGGCATGCTCTGAGCACGTGTTGGGTGCGATGGTGCCGCGGAGTTCTGACTTGCCTGGCTTGCGCTCGAACCTGCATCTTCTGCGATAGGTTCTTGAAGAAGTTCGTCGCAACGCACTGGAAGTGCCTTGGTTTGCTTGGTTTCCGACCTGATCCGCTTAGTAGGCGTTTGCTGTGACGATGCCACCGAGCTCTGACTGCCCTGGCTTGAGCTCCCGCAAACTTGTCCGTCGCGACTCACTTGCGCAGGCGCCTCATCCTGCTCTATTCGAGGTAGCATTCCCTGACCAGGTGTCGGCTGCGATGGTGCCTCCGAGCTTTGACTTGCCTGGCTTGGACTGGGACGTGGATCTTCTGCGACGGGTGCTGGTAGAGGCTCGTCGTGACGCATTGGAAGTGCCTCATCCTGCTGGCTTGGAGGCGGCATGCCCTGAGCGGGTGTCGGCAGCGACGGCGACAGCGAGCTCTGGCTCGCCTGACTTGCGTTCGAGCCTGTATCTTCTTCCGTGGGGGCTGGCAGAGGTTCATCGCGACGTAGAATTTCCTCGACCGCCTGGCTTTCCGACCTCATCCGCTTATTAGGCGTTGGCTGCGAGGCTGGCATTTGTAGGAAGTTGGTTTCGTCTTCGCTTTCGTCTTCATCTTCTTCTTCGTCTCTCACCTGCCAAGGTCTTGGCAGACGGCGAACAGTTTCAGCCCTGGAGCTCGAGGTGACTGGGCTAGCTGGTGGAACCATGGAGGTCGTGCGTACCCGTTTCATCCGAACTCTCGGGCTCGACACTTCCGCTGCTACCGGGCTTCTCGGCGTCTCGCCGGGTGGCACACTGAAGCTGATGTCTCTGCGCTTGATACTTCCTGACGCCGTTTCCTTCCGCGTCGGTGTCTTGTCCTGAGAGGATGTCGGAGAATGGGTGGGATGATGCTGTGTGATCGGCACGGAGATTGCGCGTCTCGTCACCTGCGTCGACTGCGAGATCGGTGTGAGCGGCGGGCTGATCTGCCTGCCACCCGATCCAGCTTGACCCATGGTGCTAGTATCGCTGAACTTGGCTTCGAATGGTGGCAAGAAGCAAATATGAGCAGGCTTCGCAGCCGCCAAGCGTTCTTCAGAAGCTGCATCTGCACACGGCTGCACGAGACAGGCGGGTTGGCAATCCTTTGTGCGGATTCGATCAGGACAAAGCTCTCATCATGAAAGCGGGCTTCATTTGCGGCCCTGGGTCTTCGCGCAATGTGGCCGTTTCATAACGGATGCAAGACGGAAGCACTCGAACGTAGATTTTTTGGATCAGGTGTGATCATAGAGATGCGACAGACGATCCGTAGTGACGTGAGCTGCGCAACGAACAAGGTTTCCGCTCTTCCGCACAAAGGGGCACAGGTACCCGCACAAGGATGCGCACGACTCTGCACTTGTTCATTCAACCCACCACTTCATACGCCTCGTGCACATTCGACACGATGGGAATCCTCTTTTCCTCCCCCTCTCCCTCTCCCTCTCCTTCGACCGCGTCCTCGGCCTCTCCCTTGCCGGCTAGACAAGCTGAGCCTGTTGGACGAGCTGAGCCTGCTAGACGAGCCGAGCCTGCTAGACAAGCTAGACGAGCTGGGCTTGCTGAGCAAGCCGAGCCAGTGGTGGAGCGGCCTTCGCTGCGACAGGTAGCTCTGAAGCGGGACGTTGGGCGCATGCTGCTCATCGACGCGAGCGATGCCAGCGTAACCTACGACGCGCGCTTCATGCTCGAGTACATGCGACGCAGCGAGCTCGGCGAGCGTCCACGCGTGCGCCACTTTATCATCCACCACTTACCCCGCATGCCCCGGGACAGCATTGCGGCTACGGCAGCCATCCTGCTCGCCATCGATCCGGCACTCGAACAGACCATGTATCTGTGCGTCGACAACGCCGCCGCCCGCGCGGGCGTGCCGGACCTCATGCTACCCGAAGCCTAGTCCGCCACCACCCCAAACGGCCTCCAGATCCGGCGTTTAGTCACGACCCCTTACGTCAGCTCACATTTCCACCATCCAGCTCGCACTTCATTTCGGGCCACCTTCCAAACACAAGCATGATAAAGAATGCACGAGTTGGTTGGCAGCGTGCTGCGAATCTACGACGACATGAGCGGTTCCGGCTGGGCTGTGTTTGCACCGGGGATGATGCTCTCCATCTCATCGTCCTGCTGCTGCTGAGCGAAGACCTGGAGTCTATTAACCGTGCCACCGGCTGCAATTGCTCTCTGTCCCTCCGGATGTGTAAAGTAGCAATCTGGCCTCGTACACCCGAGACCAAACCTGCACGGCGTCGCCGCTGAGCTGCGCTGTGGATGCGCAAAGAAGCAGTCTGGCCTCGTGCAGGCTGCACCGAACCTGCACGGTCGCGACGACGACTGACTCGGCAGCGCAGCGTCCATGGACAGCACCTTGGGTGGTGCAGGTGCGAATGCGGGCGCGGGGGGTCGGATGCGTGCAACGGCAGGACTCACGTGGCTGCGCGTGCAGTCTTTGTTGGTACAGCGTGCGCCGAAGCGGCAGTTTTGCTGGCTGAGTACGAGCGCGTTCGGGTCGCCGCCCGGGCCGGCGTTGGCGGGCGAGGCGTGCGAGTAGGCGCACATCGGATTCGTACACCCCACATTCCACCGACAGATCGACGTCTCGCTAGGCTCCGTTGGGAAGTCGCTCGAACGACCCACCTCCGAAGCAGCGGTGGTGGGGGGAGCATCGTTGTTCGGTAGCATCGGATCAATGCGTGCCAGGATCGAAGCTGGTTCGCCCGAGGGAGCGGAGGGAGCGGGAGCAGCGGAGGCAGCTTCGGTGGAGGGGACGAAGGCCGGTGCGCGAGGATCGGGGATGCCGGCCCGACCAAAGATGCTCAGCCCCTCGGCACTGGTGGCGCTTGCGGCAGGGAAGAGCTCCTTTGTGTTCTGCGCTGGTTTGCGCAAAGCGCCCATGGCGGCATCGAACACTCTCGGTGCGCCACCACGCTGCACGGGTGGCCTTGGCTGGCTGCGTCTCTCGTCGGCCTTTCGGCGCCAGTGTGCCTCGCCATCGAAAACATCGTCGCGCACACGCACATCGTCTGCATGCCGCGAGTACGGTGGAGGCGGAGACCTGCTTCGCCTCGCATCGTGACGCGATCCACCTGCCACGGGAGACCTGCTTCTCCTCCTCTCCAGTCTTCGCGCCGGCGGCTGCTCCTCTTTGGCTGCTTGTGGACGCTCAGCCTGGTCGAGGCACTCCTGCGTCTGCGTCCAGATCCACTCTGTAAACGCCGGATCGTACTCGGTACCGACGAGCTCCTGCAGCTCCGAGGTGACCTGGTCGGCGGTCTTTTGATTGGCGAGCATGACGACGATGTACTCGGCCATGACGGGGTCGTCGTGTGCCGAGTAGTTGTGGTGTGCGAGCTGGAGCTGGATGCGCTGCTGCAGCTCCTGCACATGTGCAGCGTGCACGTCGATGTTGCGGAACGCCGACATGCTGCGTTTGGAAGCGCGGAAGGTGGGTGAAGATGGTGGGGCGAAGGAAGATGTGGCGGTTGGGGATGTCGTGTGGAGTTGAAGCGCGGAAAGGCGGAGTGAAATTTTCATCGGGCTGGAGAGGAGGGGGAGATCGGGATATCGGCCGATGCGAATCGAGTGGAGTTGGGAATGGGCGAGGCGACGAAAGCACCAACCACCATCCTCATCTTTGCATCCGAGCCTGCTCCTCTCATCCCATCTGCTCCCGCACCCACACGACTCGACACACTTTTGGCAGCAAGAACCTCTCGAACACATCATCCGGCATCAGTTCAGCTTCGAGTCGGTACAGCAGCTCACATCCGACAAATCCGTGCCTTGGCTCCAGACTGCCCTCCAACCCCACCGCTCTTTCGTCAATCGCATAGCCAAACTCGCACTCGCCATGGTAAGATCCGACCGCGCCTCGTTGCACTTGCGAAGGCGTTGCTGACGATTCATTTCGATGCTTTGAATTGCGCTCCAGTTGCCGCTATCGCTGCTGAATGCAGCGCAGAACAAGCCGATGGTAAGCACAACCCCTTGGATGCTCTCGCCTTTGATCACGCACTGATCCTGTCGTTCACTTCGGATGCAGCTGGTGGAGCTCAAGAACGGCTCTACGTTCAACGGACATCTTGTGGCATGTGACAACTTTATGAACCTCACCCTTCGCGAGGTCTACGAAACCAGCGCCGTAAGTTCCCCTCCGTCTTCCCAACTCTTCTGCATACCTACTGACACTTGGCCTTTCGGGAATTGTAGAGTGGAGAGCAGTTTTGGAAGCAGAAGGAATGCTATATTCGTGGCAGCACAGTAAGTCCAACTCCCCTTGGCTTTACTCGAACAAAAGTACTGACTTTGGAATGCTGCGGATGGGGCTTACAGATCAAGTACTGTCGGGTTGCGGACAGCGTGATTGATCAGGTCAAGGAGACCGAGGAGGCTGCACGCAAGCAGCGCCAACAGGGCGGTGGCGGTCTCTCCGGTGGCGTCAGTCTAGGTGCGCGTGGTGGTGGACGTGGAAACCACCGCGGCTCAAGGGGCGGTGGTCCAGACCGCGGAAGAGGATCCGCAAGAGGCCGTGGAAGAGGCCAGTAATCACACACCTGTATCAGTATCTCCAACACACACCAACCAACCAACCAGCCTCACAATCCAAAAAAAGTAACAACCCAGACCACACAAGCACACCAGCTTCGACTCACGCACGTCCATTCCAAGAGTCGATATGAAACAAGCACCAAGCCGCAATGAGATGCAAGGAGGATGAGGAGGGGGAGGGAGCTTATTCGGTCTTGCCCGAGTTGTGGATGGCCGTGGCGCCGACGTCCTTGTCCTTGCTCCAGAATCCGGCTGCGGAACGTACGTCGCCCGAGAGCGATTCGCGGATGCTCTCGAGCCCGCCCTCGGCTGCGTCGATCTGGCCGTGCACGTGCGACTTGAGCGTCTCGACGCGCAGGACCCACTCTCTGCGCCGGACGACCATCTCCTCGTGCGAGCCGCGCCAGATGAGCCGCTCGAGGATGTGCCGAATGCCCGACCTGACCAGCGCATACACATGCTCCGCCAACAGCGCCACCAGCACCGCCGCCACGATCGCGCCCGCCGCACCCGACGTTGGGATGTGCGACGGCACGAGCCTTGAGAAGCTGAATCGCGACTGTGCATCGTCGGCGAGCGTGAGATTGGCGCGCGAAGGATGGAGGTGCGTGCGCATGGTGGTCTCGTACCGCGAATGGCCCTCGAGATGCGCATGCTCCGACTGCTGGAAGAGGTAGACGAGCGCGGCATTGTTGAGCGCACCCAACCACGCGATAAAGCCAAACGCCTCGAGCCAGGGCCCGATCGTCTCGGCCCGTACGGGCACGGGACGTCGGTTGTTCACGCTGATCTTGGCCGCATCCGAGCGCAGCTCGAAAAAATTGTTGACAAACCCCATCACGGGCGACAGCGGCCACACGACGGACCAGAGCGTAATGTAGCCAAACTGCGTCGCCATCTCTGCGTAGTCGCCAAACAGATCGTACGGCGGAAGCTGCAGCTCCTTGCGCACGCGCGAGACGAAGCGCCGCTCCGACTCCTCCTTGCCACTGTCGGCCGCGCCGGGCTCGAGCGGAGTTACGTCGCCCGATGACGGGGCAGAGGACGACGCCGAGTCCTGGCGCTGAGGCTGACGCTGCGATGAGCCGTCGGCGTTCTTTTGGGCGGCGCGCTCCTCGCGCCACTCGGCAAATTTGCGCATGAGCACGGGCAGCGCAAGCTCGGTAAAGGCGTTGACGAACTGGCTGGTGACGCTGACGGCGAAGAGCTGGGTGTGCATGCGGTCCGGGTTGATGTGGAAGTCGATGCCCTTTGGACTGATGTTGCCCGTGCGGATGGCGTGCTGGATCGAGTCGCGGAAGAAGCCGCGCTGCACCATGGTCTCCATGATCGACTCGCCAAAGGGGATGTAGATGTAGGCGGAGAGGGTGAGTGCGCCGTAGGCGGTGATGGCCTGCATGGCAAAGCGCTTGAGCGTGAGCGAGTAGTCGTACGACTTTGCGCTGTGGTGATTCTCCCACTTTGTGATGGCGACCGCGGTGGCCTGCCAGGCGGCGATGATCTGGGGCACGGCGACGACGAGCAGCGCGGTGGGGATGAAGGGCACGGCCTGCTTGAGTCGGCCGTGGTAGAGCTGGGTGACGAAGATCTCGACGACAAACATGAGCGTCATGGTAGCCGCCAGCACGGAGGCGAAGAAGGCGACGATGGGCAGCGAGAGGATGACGCGAAGTTCGCGGCGCCACCACTCAAAGACCTCCTCGGGCTCTTCGGTGGCTGGATCGATGCGCGTGGTGCGCGGCACAAAGTCGTGGCGCCTGCGGTCGACTTGGGAGACGCCGAGTGTGCCCCAGCGCACGGCGAGCTTGCGTTCCTTCATGCGCCACAGTTCGACAAAGAGGCAGGACCACGAGACGAGGCCGAGCGAGTAGACGGGCGAGAAGGGCCTACCGAGGAGCCAGAAGGCGAGGCCGAGCAGCGCGGCGGGGGCGAGCGCCTGGAAGTAGAAGTTGAGGAAGCCAAAGTAGAGCGCCACGTCCTCGCCAAAGTGTTCGCGGATCGAGTCGAGGTCTGCGAGGCCGATGCCCGAGAAGAGCTTGGCGGGCGAGGTGTGCGACCAGCGCTTCATCCATGCCGAGTTGTACGCGGGGTCGTGGATGGCGCTCATGTCGACGAGATGCGGGAACTCTTTGAGGCCGAGCCTGAGACCAGCGCCCGAGGGCACCTGAGAGCTGCCGGCTGCATTCTTGACGGCGTGCGAGGCGAGGCTGGGCAGCGTGAGGAGCGAGTCGACGAGACGGAGGCGCGATGCGGGCGTGAGGTGGAGCGACGACGGCTGCTGCTTTTGAAATGATGCGTCGGCGAGGCTTGAGGAGCGCGGCGGGGGCGGCTGTACGGAGAGCACGCCATGGAGGTAGTCGGAGAGCGCCTCCTGCCGGGCGAGCTGATGGAGGAGCTGCGAGTCTGCCTTTACAAAGAGTAAGATCTGACCGGAGCCTTTGGAACCTTCGCGGCTGGTTACGTGGAGGCCAGTGTCACGGATGCGCTGTACGAGTGCGTCGTACTCTGCTGCGATCTTGGAACGCTCTGCGGCGGGCACCTTTGTGCTGGAGCGAAGGTACTTTTTGGCGATGTGCTGGAATACGAGGACGTAATCGGCGATCTGCGAGTCGGGATGCGACTGCGGCACGGGATACTCGGTGGTGAGAGACGACGAAGAAGTGACGTCGCGTGCCGATCCGACGGCGTCCTTGGCTGCCTTTTGGGCGGAGTGGAGAGCGCCCTGGATAGGAGGCAGCGCTTTCTCGGAGAGGTTGGACGGTGCGTCGGCGGCGGCGGACGCCCCGTGTGGGGAGTCTTGCTTGATGCCGTTCATGGTGCCGGCCAAGAGCTAGGATCCTAATCCAGACGGAAGAGAGGGGCTGTCTGAGATGGTGGCCGAGAAGCAACGACGAGCGGTATTGAGCAGCTCGCTTTGTGTGACTGGCAAGGCGAGTGCACGGACTCTGTCTCACGAGGTGAAGGCGCAGAATGCCGTCACGTCACACCGCTTTTCTGGCATTTGCGCCAACGCACGTCAGCGCGCCTTTGCTGCAACGCCGCCAAAAAAACGGGCGGTGCATGATAAGGCCGTACAGCGGCAGGAGCGTTGCTGCGTGTGGAGGTTTGGCCTTCGATGGCACTCAAGAAGCAGACGCACACTCGCACTCGCACCCGCCAGCCTAGAGCTTGTTCATGCAGCCAAGCGAATCCGTATTGACAGCATACAAAGCCCTCGCTCATGCCAGCGCCGCCTTCTTGTTGCGCACGGCGAGGAAGAGCATCACAAACAGCGTCTCGATGCGCGCCTTGACCATCTGCTCCCGACGTCAAATCAATCAGTAACCTGTTCCGCTGTGCGCACCATGAGCTTCGATGCAGCGGACTTACCATAGTCGTTCCGAAGCTGAAAAGGCCCTTGAGCAGCTGAGTGTCGAGGCCCTGGTACAGGCCGGCGATTCCACCGCGCCTGATGGTCTTGCGCAGCACATCCAGCAGGTTCCGGTACATCTTTCGTCCCGACGGACTCCTCCACTGCAGACGCGTCTTGCACAGGATGAGTGGGAAGACGATCATGGTCGAGATGCTGTTTCCGATGGCCGAAGTCACAAAAGTCTGGAGCGACGATGGCTTTTCCCTGCGCTCCTTGGGGATGAGTAGCGTCGATACGGCGTTGGTGCTGTAGAACGTCAGTGCCGGCGAGATGCTCAGCATGGCTGCAGTCTCGAATCCGGACCACAATCCCAGCCAGCCCTTTTCGTCTACGATCTGGCGCAGCACATCCATAATCCCAGGAGACTCGGCATAGCCACCCTCGTCGTCCGATTCGCTGTCCGAACTAGGCTGACCCGTTGCGGCCTGCTTGGCTTCGGTTTCCTTGTTCTTTGCTTTTGGCGTGGCGGATGTCTGCATACGCACGGTCACATTCGACAACGGCGTGGTGAAGAGCCTCGATACGATACCTGCCAGTGCACCGATGGCGAGGTCTTCGGCAGCAGTGATGACGATCGACTTTCCTTTACCCTTGCCAGCCGACGAAGGTGGGAGCTTGGCGCGCTTACGCTCTTGGATGTGCTCCATGAAGAACGAGCGAAAGTAGAAGAAGAGGAAGTTGGAGAGCGTGTTGGAGATCGAGTCGGACGCGAGGCCTTGGTACAGGCCCTTGATGCCGTTTTGCTGGATGATCTCCGAGAGCGCAGCGCCGATGGAGCGGTAGCCACCCTTGCCGTCGCGTCCGCGCGACTGCGTCTGGCATCGTGTGGAGAGCAGATCGAGCGGGTATACGAGCGTGTTGCTCGTCAAAGACCCCAGCGCGCCCGCTGTAGCCTGCGCAAATGGAGGCTGTCCCAACCCACACCAAACCAAAACGATTAGCTCGACTGATTGCTTTGATCAACGTTCGCGGTGTCGACTTACGAGCTGACTCTGTGCCATCTTGCGTATGCTATGGGATATATGGCTTGATACGGTCCTGTGAGTGTGGGAGACGGCTTGGTCGAGATGCTATGGCGAGGGGGTCGGGATGGAAGGAAGGTGAGTGATTCACCGCGGTGCTGACCAAGGGTCCGGCGGGCAGCTGCCAAAGCGAAGGCCAAACGGGCAGCCCGGCTTTTCGCTATCCGAACGAGCGGAAGTCGATTGCGGCCCAGGGTGTGAAATTTCGCCATCGCCAGCTGCTTCCATGCGGGTCAAAAAAAAAGGAAAATGTGGAGTTGCGCTGCATTCACCTGCCTAAATCGAAATCCACTTCCTCGATATCCGCGCGCCGCTCACACACCCACACACACAGAGCCTGTCTCGGCATCGACCCTCTCGTCTCCATGACGATCTTCGCCGCACCAGTGAGATAGGGAGCTGGATGAGAGAAGAAAGTATTGCCAGGGATAGTGAGGACTTTGCGGGGTAGAATAGCTTATTGCAAGCGATGAGCGGTGAGTCCAGACCTTATCGGCGCTTGGTTTGCCGTCGCCCGACCGTTTCCGGCAGCCTTCCTTCGCCGACGCGACTCACCTCTGATGACGTCGATCTGCACCCAGCCGTTGTTCTGATTTAACATTCTCAACTTTTTCGCCCCTCAGCTGGTCGCCATCAAACGGGACAGTGCTCACATCGTCCGTCAGCTGCCACACTGCACGGCACATCGGCCGTTTGATGATCCTTTCTAGAAACTCAGCATTGCATTTTGGAGTGTATATCGCTTAGATCCAGTCGGCTGCCTTGGCTTCCGTCCTCCAGGCGTCCGAGTCGCGGATGAGCTCCCTTGCCTCCTTGGCCGGTCGCGAGATGGCCGAGCCTTGACTGATCCATCCCATGACCGACTTGACAATCTCGTCTGCAAACCCGAGCGCATGCAGCGCCGCAGCGTCGCGCTCCAGACTCGCGCGCACGATCTGCGACTGCAGCGCCACATCGCCCGCTGCTCCACCCACCACGTGCTTCTGCAGCACGCCCGCCGCCATCTCGGCGTCCAGCTTCACCAGCGAGCCCACCACCTCGGCCACACCCTGGCGGAAGGCGTCCTTGATGCCCACCTCGGCACCGAACGTTGCGTCCACGAGCGCAACCACCTGCTCCCGACTCGCTGCACCCACGTTTTTGGCCGGCGCGTTGGCGAGCACGTGCGCCAGCGCCAGCGCAAACGAATCCGCAAGCTCAGCTGGGTCGCTCGCGCCGCCAGCTGCGGCTCCAGCCAAGCCCGCAGCGGCAGGCGCACCGCCTTCGCCAAGACCAGCGCGTGCACCCGTAACCAGCTCGGCAATCACCGGATCCACGCGCGTCTGCACACCCATCAGGTTGCCCAGCGCCACTCCTGCCTTGGCGCGCACCGTGGCGCTCGAAGCGTCCGAAACCGCCTTCTGGTACGAGCGCTGCAGCTGCGGATAGAACGGCCGCACGAGCGCAGGGATGCGTCGCACCATCGTATCCAAGCTCGTCAGGATTGCCGCCTTGACCGGCGGCGGATGACGGTCGCCGCACAGTCGAATCAGCGGTCCGATCATCGACGTGACAAACGGCTTGATCGCTTCCGCCGACGTGCGCTCCACAATGTCCGACAGACCCAGCGCACCGTTCTGCCTCTGGTCCGGCGTGCCGTTCATCAGGCCCGCCAGGAATACCGGCACCAGCGGCGACGCTCCCTTCGGTCGGCACAGCCCCGCCAGCTCGCGTCCGGCCGCGCCCGTGTTTTCCAGACTGCGCCGCAACGGCACCACCAGCCCCTCTAGCTCGTCCTTGCCCACCGTCTTGAGCGAGGCGTCCAGCGCGCTCCACGCCGCATCCACCACCTCGGCCACCGGGTCGTCCAGCAGCGAAACCAGCTTGCGCAGCCAGTCCACCAGGTAGTCCGACACGTCCACCGACGCCTTTTTCACCTGGCAGAACACCTTGAACAGGTTGCAGCCAGCCACGCGCTGCTGCGGCGACGACGTCGATCCGGCCCAGCCCAGCAGCAGCAGCATGGTCTGGTGCAGTCCGTCCACGTCCGAAACCGAGCCCAGCAGCGCCTCCACCGCCGCGTTGAGGTCCGCCACCACCGTCTCGTCCCTCTCCGTGTCGAGCGCCTTGGACAGCGCCGTGAGCATGCTCGACAGCCGGCGGTTGAGTGCCGATCCGGCCACGCGCACCAGCACCGCCAGCGCACGCGCGTTGAACGACGTGATCGGCTGCGCGATCAGCGTCGGCACCAGCACGGGGAACACCACGTCCGAGCGCGCACGCATCACCTCGCGCAGCGCAGCCAGCGCCGTCTCGGACGTGCCGCCGCTCGTGTCCGACAGCGCCTCGAGCAGCGTCGGGATCGTCTCGTCGATCGCGCGCGGCCCAATGTACGTCTGCGTCGCATCGAACGCCTGCGCAGCCGCATGGCGCACCGCCGGCGACTCGTCCACCAGCGCATGCCGCACAACCGCGATGATCGCATCCTCGTGGTCCTCCAGCTGCGTCTTGGTCGAGTTGGCCAGCACCTCGGTCACCGCGTAGCACACGCCCGAGCGCGTCTTGGCGTCCTCGGACGTCGCTCCGCGCATGCGCAGGATCGGAATCGTCTCGCGCAGGATCTTCTCGCCCAGCTTCTTGACCAGCTCGCCCAGCGTGCGCGCCGCCATCTCGCGGTTCTCGTCGCCGTTCGACGCAAGCGACTTGATGAGGATGTCGAGCATCGTCGGCAGCACCTCGCGCGCCGTACGCGGCGTGTTGTGCACCAGCGCCTTCCACGTGTGGATCGCAGCCTGGCGCACGGGAATGTTGGGATCCTGTCGCACAATGTAGATCGACGCAAGGATGCGGTCGCGCCTCTCCTGTCCCAGCGCTTCGATGAGCGCACGCTGCACCGAGTTGTTGGCAGCCGAGTGCTCCACGTCTTCGTCGATCCCCTCGTCCTCCACCTCGTTCTTGCCCGAAATGCCAGACAGGCGGAACAGCAGATCGGCGGTGAGCTGCAGCGACGACATGCGGATACGCCATGCCTCGTCGAACAGGCCAGTCTCGAGGTGCGGCAGCAGCAGATCCACCGCCTTGGACGAGTAGTTGGCGATGATCATGCGACCAGCACGCATCGACGCCTCGCGCACCGTCTCGGCATCGTCGGCGATGCCGCTGAGGATCGGTGGAATGATGCGACCCAGGTGCGGCGCAAAGCGGTGGCCGAACGTGGCGGGCAGGTAGATGAGAAGCGAGATGTGACCTTCTCGCACGTACGGCTTGGGATCCGAGGCGCTGTTGATGATCTCGGGGAGCAGGTTCTCCATGCGCTCCATGCCGAGACCGGCAAGCACCTCGGCGAGACCCTGCGCGGCACCCTGGCGATCCACGCCCGTGGCGTCCGAGCGCAGCACTCCGAGCAGCGACGGCACCAGCTCCACAAAGTGCACTTCTCCCAGGCGCTCCACAAGCGTTCCGAGCGCCTTGGCCGCCACCGCTCGTGCCTCGGGTACGGGCGAGATGAGCACCAGACGCACCATGGGGATGAGCTTTCCGAGGTACGGCACAAAGTCCTTCGAGTCGGTGAGACCGGCAAGATTGCCGACGATGCGCGCAGCGTCCTTCTGGATCGTTGCGCTGCGCTCCTTGAGACCACGGTCGATGATCGGAATGACGAGCGCCAGCGACGGCGAGTCGATGTAGTGCACGAAGCTCGTCTCGAGCACGCGCTTGAGCGCCGCACCCGTCTTGGTGTTGGGGTCGATGAGCGCCTTGAGAAGCACGGGCACGAGCTCCTTGATCTCTGGATTGTTGATCACCTCGCCGAACTGCTTCAGACTCTTGTTGGCCGCCGTTCGCACCTGCGTGTGCGAGTCGGTGAGCACCTCGCTCAGTCGCGGGATGACCGTCGGCAGCGACAGCGAGAGCTGCTTGGGCGCACAGTACGCCATGGCGCCCAGCAGCTCGATGGCGCCCTTCTTGGTCCTCCACTGCTTCTCGTCGAGACCCGACAGCAGCGTCGGCAGGATGATCTTGACGCAGTGACCCGAGACCGTCTGCATGATCGCCTTGGCTGCGTCTTGCGTCGCCTCACGCACATCACTCGAGACGTCGCCGAAGCCGGCAAGCATGTGGGGCAAGATGCCGATGATGTACGGCTCGAAGAGCCTCTTGAGCGTCAGCGTCAGCGTCTCGTACGCGAACATGACACCCTGTCGGCGCGTCGGATTCTTGGCGTCTTCGAATGCGTCGGCGAGCTTGTCCATCACGTCAAACTCCTTGATGCTGCCAATGCCCCGACCCATGACGAGACCAGCCAGGCCGTAGGCGGCTCCTCGTCGACCGGCGTACTTTGGTCCGTCGAAGAGCTCGCGGAAGAGCGACTGGAACAGGCGCGGAACGTCCTTGCTGATGGCAAGCACCAGCGGTGGCAGACAGTCGGCGACAGCAGACTGGACGAGCTCCGAGGGCGTCTTGAGAGCGTCGATGAGACGATCAACCACCTTGCTGACGCGCGGGTCCTTGGGGTCCAGATGGCGAGCTTCGCGGCCGAGTAAGATGACGACTGCCTCGGTGATGCCGTCGTCGGCGTTGGAGCCGGTCGAGTTGCTGAAAAAGGCCTCGAACATGGCGATGAGTTTGGAGAGGTGCTCCTTGCCGTGCAGATCGATCACGGCAGTGGCCGCTTCGAGCATCTTGGGGCGCACGTCTTCGCTGCGATCGCCAAGCGCCTGACCGTCGATCATGAACTCGAACAGAGGCTGCACATCCGAGCCCTGGAGGAGAGGAGCCAGATGGCGGAGCGCCACAGCGATGGCGGCACGCGTCTGCCATGGATCCTGGCGGTTCTTGGTGGACTCGATGACCATTCCGAATCGGTCGTATTCGGGGGCCAGCACCTTGTTCCTCTCCTGATACAGTTTGCAAAGCTTCGAGATGACGTTCGAGACCTGCTCTGGGTGTTGCTCGGTGGCAGCGGCAAGAGCGCGCGCACAGCTTTCGCGGACGTAGGCGATCTTGTGCTCCAGCAGCGTGATGAGCGGGTCAGCGAAGGATTCGGGCACGTCGAGGCCGTTCTCCTCCCACGCCTTCTCGGCGAGTCGCGCATTCTCCTCGTCCTCGTCGTGGCAGGCGAGCCAGAGCTCCACGGGGAACTCGAGGTCCGTGAGGTCGAGCGGCTGAATGGCTTGGAGACAGCCGTTGCGCACGTAGACCTCGTCAACCATGGTGTTGGAAAGCAGCTTCTGGATTTCTGCCGGTAGAGCGGTGGTCCTGAGCGCTTCGCCGATGTCACGCAGCGCAGAGACAGCGTCCTTGGAGATCTGCGTGTGCTTTGCGACGATCGTGACAAGGCTGTCCATGAACGACGAACGAGGGTAGAAGGTGCTTTCGCACGCAGAGCCATGGAAATCGATAAAGTCGAGCGAGAGCTGGATCTGCTCGAGCACCGAGTCCGTGTCCTCGGGATCCACGCCGAAGCCGCCAGCACGAACGATGCGAACGATGAGCGGGTCGATGAAAGCGACCGTGGTGGCATCTAAGGGCGATTGCTCGGACAGCGATCGGAGGCGATAAAGGATGCGAAGCACGAGCTCGTTGATGGGCTCGGCTCGGAAGTCCTCTTGCACGAGCTCCTCATCGATGGTGCGCAGAATGGCGACGGCAACAAACATCGAGTAGGCCTCGAGGCGGATCGAGCAGCAGCTGGACAGCGCCCAGAAAGCGTCCTTGGCCTCCTTCTCAAAGAGCTCGCGCGCCTGAGGCACCTCGAAGGTGCGCAGGACGAAAGCAACGAGCGATTGCATGTATCCCTGGATCTCGTCAGTGCGGGCGCCGACGATGGAGGAGACGGTGCTGAGGGAGCGCACGTAACGCGATCGGATCTCTTGGACCTTGGCGCGTGCTTGCGCTTCGACCTTGGCCTGAGCGTCTACGGCGGCCTTTTGGTCCTTGGTGAGCGTCTTGTTCTGAGCCGCCTTCTTCTTGGCGATGTCTGCGCGAAGCTCGGCCTCCCACTGCTCCATCTTTGCATTCTTGCTGTTCTTGTCGACGCTGTCTTCCTTTTTTGCGGAGAGGACGTCGATATAGAGCGAGCCGGGCTCAGTCCGCCACATACCCAGCTCATCCTGGGTGAGTGCGTGCAGATCGTCGAACTGGCAGTCGGCTTCGACCTGAGAGGCGAGCTCTGCCATGATGGTGTCGGGCGCCAGACGCACGAGCGTAGTCTGTGCAGCAAAGCCTGCGTCGCGCATGGCGGGATCATCGAGGGCGACGCGGACGGCAGCGAGGAGGTCCTGCTGATGCGAGGTTACGAGGTCGATGGGGAGGATCTTTGCCTTGAAGGTGAGGTCCATGAAGCACGAGGTGCCGCGGTCGAGAAGGTCGGTGTGGTGAGAGAGCACGAGTGTGTCGACGAGCGCGTTCTTGCGCAGTTGCGAATCGAGCTCTTCCGAGAAGGTGTTGGCAGCGGACAAGAGGCGGCGCAGGTCACGAGCTCGAGTCTCGGCCGAGGGCTTTGCATCTTCCACGTCGCCAGCAGCTGCTGCGGCAGCCAATCCGGATGTGGACGCCGCCGAGGCGGCGCCGTTGGGCTTGGATGAGGCGGCTGAGGCAGTAGGAGTGCCGGTTGGGGCAGGCTGTTGAAGGAAGGCCGAGACACCGGAGGTGATGATGTCGTGGGTAAGGATGGGCTGGACCAAAGCGAGATGCTGAACGAGTTCGAGCACGGAGCGCTTCGAGTTGGTGCCGGTAGCATGGAAGAGGACGTGGATGAGGGCGAGTGCGATGTGCACCTGCACAGCCTTGTCGCTTTCCAGCGCCTTTGCATGTCGGACGACGACGGCCTGCAAAGCGCGCGAGAGCCAGATCTCTTCGTCGGGAGAGGCGATCTTGCGGAAGACCTTCTCGGCAAGGAGGAAGGATGGCTTGGGGTCGACGACGAGGATGCCCTCGAGCGCTGCGTTCTTTGTCAGGACGGCATCGATCTTGTCGGAGCCAAACTTGGCGAGACGGTCTTCAAGCACAGCCGTGGCGATGTAGCCCTCTAGAGGACCACCGACGGCGGTGAGTGGATTCGTGGACGCGTTCTTGAGGTTGGCCTCGAAGCCGGGCAGGAGCGACTCTGCAAATGCGCGAGCGGCGGGCGTGGCGTGGCTTGCATCGTCCATGGACCAGAAGAGCTCGCCGATGGCAAGGCAGACGGCCTTACGGATGGGCACCTTGGAGTTCTGGAGCTCCTTGACCAGAGCGGCGGAGACGGCGGCTGGTGGTGGGGTGTTGGCGTGGATGAGCATCCAGCGAAGGTGGGTGGTGATGCAAGAGACGGCGGCGTGCATGGCAGCTTCCTGCGCCTCTTTGGCGAGGAGCGAGACGACGACGTCGACGATGGCCGAGCTCTTTGCGGCCTCGCCTGGTGCGACGGAGGAGAGCATGGCGTAGATGGAGGATCTGGCTTCAGGGGTAGCCGCCTTGCCGCCCTTGAGGATGGCGATGAGCTCGTCCACGACGGCGGTCTTGGCCGCGTCGTCATCGCGGATTCGGAGGGAAAGGGCGGAGAAGAAGTCGGCGGCCTTTGTCCTGGTGGCGGCGTTGGATGATCTGGAAGCGGAGATGACCGGGGTGAGGAGCGGCTTTGCGTGTGGACCGACGTCGAGCTTTACTGCGCTGAAGAGGCTCGTGGCGACGAGGAGGGCCACCTCGGGCGAGCGGAGGAGCATCTTTTCGAGTTGCGGACGCAGGGCGGAAGAAAGATCGTGCTCGGTGACGTATTGAGCGATGAACTCTTCGAAAGCCTGGATGGCGGCTTGTGGGACTACAGTCTTGGAAGCGAGGATCTGAGTGCTGTAGAAGGCGAGAATGTCGCTCTTGGCGGCATTGACGTATCCGCGGCCCACGCCATCGGGAGCGCCTTTGACCTGCTCGGAGCCTGCACGAAGGCGAAGAGACACACCGATGGCCTCGCCGAGGAGAGGCGCCGAACGAAGAGCAGCAGCGGGCGTCTGGCTAGCGCAGAGGATGCGGATAACGTGAGGGAGATAGGCGTGGGCATTGCGCAGCGTGCGTCGAGTGAGGGCCACGGCGTTCTTTCGGACGCTGTCGCGACCGTTGGAAGCGGCGAGGATGGCGTCGTAGTTGGCTGCGAGGACGTGAACGAGGGCCTCCCATGTCGTCGAGACGGCCTTTACTACGGCAGCATTGTCTGCGGTTGATGTTGAGCAGAGTGTGGCATAGAGAGAGCATACAAACGCATGGAGGGCTGTGAGTGTGGAAAGAGAGGTGGTGGAGGGACCAGAGGCCGAAGGCTTGGCGATGCGCTCCGACTCTCGCTTGAGCCAGGCGAGGGCATGCTTTGCGACGGCGCCGTTGGAGTCTGGCGAGGCGGCGGCTTCATCTGTGGCCACGATCTTGGAGAACACGCTGATTGAAGCGAGGCGAGATTCGCGGTCGATGTACTTTGCATATGTGCGGAGGATGATGGTGAGGAGCTCGGCTCGTTGCACGGGCTGTAGCTCTGCGAGCTCGGCTGCCTTGAGCGCATGTCGGTTGAGAAAGCCGAGGCGCTGGCGTGTGCTGGTGGAGTTGAGCTGGAGCTGTGCCGCTTGGGCAAAGGCGGGCCAGTCGTCGAGCGGGTCGATGAGGTCTGTGTCGTCGCCCGAGACGCTCATCTTTGCAGGTGCGAGGTCGTCGTCCGAGTCGTAGGGCTCCGGATGAGGTTCCGAGGACGCTCGCTGGATCCAGTTTTTAAGGTCGCGCTTCTTGGCTAGCATGCGACGAGGGCGAGGAAGTGGTAGGAGGTTGCTGCAGATGAAAGCTCAACGGTGTGGAAGGCAGGCGGGCGGGCGAGCTTGTGTCAATCTGGGCTCAGTTTTTCGTGCGCAGAGCTTCTGCTTCTTCTGCGCCTTGGTCATGTGGCCCTTGCGGAGCCCAGTCGAGGTGATCTCGCGAAGAAAAGATTCTGTGTTGGCAGTGCGTCCGATTTCGCGATTTTGGCTCGGCTTGAGACGCTCAATGTTAGACCCAATCTAACCCGATTGAGACGAACACTGATCGGCATCCGATGCCATAGAGCAGCTGTCTCGGAACGGCGCTGCAACGGGAAGCATTTCTGCGGTCAAAGCAACGCCAGACTCCGGCATGCCCGACGGGGAGGATGGACTGGGGGCTGAATGCTGAATCTGAGCGCCGCATCTGTGCCAAATCGGGGCGGGGAGCGCAGGAATTCCCGCACGTCTTCCCGCCAAGAGAGGAGCGGCGCCTAACGAGTCGAGTCGAGTCGAATTGGAGAGTCGAATTGGAGTCATTTTTTTGAGTTGAGCCGCGACCAACGAAAGGCAACCAACACCGCCCTCGAAGCCTCTTCGAGTGCGCACACACCTCCGCTGCTCTGCTCGAGCCGCGCCGGTCCGCGTGGATGCCAATCCAATCCTTATCTTGCATTCCAACGTCGACTCCTCCCGACTATCCTCACCACCACCAACGAAAGGAGATCCACCCACACCTCAACGAGCGCCTTCAAGCGCACACACTTCCACACCTAGACCGGCAAGCTACCACACCTCGAAAGCATACACACACAAGCATGTCCGCCATCAAGGACGCTCTCGCCTCGGCTGCCGAGGCTCTCCACATCTCCGGCGACAAGGACAAGAAGGCCATCGGCGGTGGCGCTCCCGTCTACGTCGACGAGAAGGCCGGTAACGACGACGCTGCCGACGGCTCCAAGGCCTCGCCCTTCGCCACACCATTAGCCGCGCTCCTCGCAAAGGGCCAGGACGCCTCGGTCTTTGTCAAGAAGGCCGACGCCACCCCCGGCCAGGACGGCGTCGATGCCGACGGCTACGCGCCCATCTCGGCCTCGGCCGCCAAGAAGGTGAGCAAGCTCTACGCAACCGCGCTCAAGAAGAAGGAGAAGGCGAGCGAGCAGGCCGCCAAGGACGAGGCCCAGGCCGCCCACGACGAGAAGCGTCTCGAGGACAGCAAAAAGATCATCCTCGAGGAGCCCTCCTCCTCGGCCAAGAAGATCAAGATCAGCCAGGGCGCCAGCTTCCGCGACCAGCGCGTCAAGATCTGCGGCTGGGTCCACCGCCTCCGCTCCCAGAAGGACCTCACCTTCATCGTCCTCCGCGACGGCACCGGCTACCTCCAGGTCGTCCTCTCCGGCAAGCTCACCACCACCTACGACGCCCTCACCCTCACCACCGAGTCCACCGTCGAGATTCAGGGTCAGCTCAAGGCCGTCCCCGAGGGCAAGACCGCGCCCGGCGGTCACGAGCTCGTCGCAGACTACTGGAAGTGCCTCGGCAAGGCGCCTGGCGGAGACGAGGCCTACACCAACGTCGTCGCCGAAACCGCCGACCCCAACTCCCTGGCCGACCGTCGCCACCTCGTCATCCGCGGCGAGACCGCCTCCGCCGTGCTCAAGGTGCGCTCCGAGGTGCTCAAGGCCTTCCGCGCCGAGTTCGACAGCCTCGGCATGACCGAGGTCACGCCCCCCTGCATGGTCCAGACCCAGGTCGAGGGCGGCTCCACCCTCTTCAGCTTCGACTACTACGGACAGCCCGCGTACCTCACCCAGAGCTCCCAGCTCTACCTCGAGACGTGTCTGCCCTCGCTCGGCGACGTCTTTTGCGTCCAGGAGTCCTTCCGCGCCGAAAAGTCGCACACGCGTCGCCACCTCTCCGAGTACACGCATCTGGAGGGCGAGCTGGCGTTCATCACCTTTGACGACCTGCTCGAGCATCTGGAGCAGATGATCTGCGGCACGCTCGCGCGCGTGCTCGACGACCCCAAGACCAAGGCGCTGCTGGACCAGCTCAACCCCAACTTCCAGATGCCCTCGCGTCCCTTCCGACGTATGGACTACAAGGAGGCCATCCAGTGGCTCAACGACCACAACATCCCCAACGAGGACGGTCAGCCGCACAAGATCGGCGACGACATTGCAGAGGCGGCCGAGCGCAAGATGACCGACGAGCTCAACGTGCCCATCTTCCTCTGCCGCTTCCCGCGCGAGATCAAGAGCTTCTACATGAAGCGCACCGAGGGCGACGAGGAGTTCACCGACTCGGTCGACGTGCTCATGCCCGGCGTCGGCGAGATCGTCGGCGGATCCATGAGGATGGCTGACCAACACGAGCTGCTCGAGGCCTACAAGAAAGAGGGCATCGACGCCGCCCCTTACTTCTGGTACACCGACCAGCGCAAGTACGGCACCTGCGAACACGGCGGCTACGGCCTCGGCGTAGAGCGCTTCCTCGCCTGGCTCACGAACCGATGGACCGTCAGAGAGGCTTCCCTCTACCCGCGCTGGACCGGCCGCTGCACTCCCTGATCCCACCTCTTTACCCCCAAGAGTCAGCTTGCTTGTCACCCTCGTCTCACTCGCCCAGCAATGGCCAAGTCGTGTTCAAGCTGGAAGAATGTGTGGATGGAATTGAGATTCGATGACTTTTGGCTCAGGTGAGCGGATGGAGCGCTGTGTCGCAAGCAAAGGCAAGGAGTCCGATGCCACATGCTACGACAGACACTTGAGGCTAGCTTTTCTAGGTCGACTTTGCGAGCTTCTCGGCCTTTCGAATGGCGCGCTTGCGGATGGCGACCTGCTGGCCGTACGTGTAGTTGAGCAGCCAGCCGCGCGGGAGGATGGTGGAGGTAGCCCAGTCCACGATAGCGTGCATAGGCCAAGGCGTCGAAGTATAGGGTCTTCCGACCGCACCGCCGTTGCGTCCGATCGACTTGAGTGCCTGCGCAACGTACTGCTTGGGCGTGGGGATCATGGCGCTCGCCTTGCGCACCTTGGACATGTTGGACACCACAAAGTACGTGTTGAGCAGGCTGACGGTGATGTTGCTCCTGCGCAGCTCCTCGCCCAGAGCCTGGGACCAAGCGCTAAGAAAAGCCTTGGATCCAGCATAAGTCGCCAGCATGGGCGTGGTAACTTGACCAGCGAATGAGCCGAGGTTCAGCACGAGACCGCGCTTACGTGCGACCATGCCGGGGATGATCATACGCGAGACACGTAGGATCGAGACGACATTGATCTCGATAATGTCCTCCATCTCGTCCTCTGCAGTTTCGGCAAAGTTGACCGGCATGTTGTGCGACTTGCCCACGTTGTTGATCAGTGCACCGATGTTGAGGTCCTTGACGGTATGTTGGAGGCCTTCGTACTGACGCTCGTCGCCCAGGGCAAAGTCGATCGCCTGCGTCTTGGTTCGAACGCCCGGCGTAGCCGCTTCGATCTCGGCAGCAACAGCACCCAGCTTCTCCGGGCTGCGCGACACCAGCAGGATGTTGAAGCCCTTCTTGGCGAGCTGCAGCGCAAACTCGCGCCCAATGCCATCCGTAGCACCCGTCACCACCGCCCACGTCGCCTTGGAAAAGTCCTTCTTGTTCGCTCCGAACTTGGACACCGACTGGCCAGGCAGCACATAGACGTCGGCGAAGAGCTGCGTGAGACGCAGCACGAACGTCGCGGCTGTCAAGGCACCGACGCCCGCCAGAACGACGAGCGCGGCCGAAAGAGGCGTCAGGCCGTGGTCGACGCGGAGTCCGACATGGCGCAACAGGCCGTCGATTTGCTGTTCGATCGCCATCGTGCTTTGATGTCCGTTGATGACGTTGGAGTCAGGATGCGGCTCGTAGATGGAGGTGAGTCCGCAAGGTTGCGACAAGCAAGGTTGAGGATGCCGCTGCGGAAAGATTTGGTCTGGATTGCGGATAGCCGCATCATCCGACAAAATTCCCAAAACGCGACAGGAATGCACGGGTCAAGTGTAGCGTTTCGCGTCGGTGCAAGAGCTCTCTCTCGCTCGGCTGGAATTGCTCGTCTGACTGGCTGCCCAGCAGCACAGGGCGTATCGCTCGATGCAGCTCTGTCCGGCTCAACGCGACGCCGAAAGCCCGATTCACACCGCAAAAGTCTGCGTCAAATTTGTTGGGGACTCACCGGTGCTGCATTGCCGATCGCATCAGCCGCCTCGATCGTTGCCACTCTTCGGCTGGACCGACAACCTCCTCGATACAGTTCATCAGCATCTCGAGCCAAACAGACCTTCGTTCAAGCTTGGCTCGGAAGCCTGCGCTTGACTGCATCGGATGGAGGGCTAAAAATTGAAAAAGCAGAAAAAAGGGGAAAAAAGGAACTGCAGCACCTAGGATTCCCGCGTGGTCCCCCACCGCAGTACTGACTAGGCGATACCTTGCTTAATTTCGCAGATCGGACGGGATGCGGTGCTTTCAAGGTTCTATGGCCGCAGATATCAATGAAGCCTACGGAAACGTATATAATTAGCTGCTGTGACTGACCTCTATCCACCCGACGAGGCGACGTCTGTGTCATCAAAGCGATGCGTAGGTCTGCCTTTCGGCGGTAGGATGGTCCGGAGTCATAGCAGCATAGCAGCACAGCGAGTGATGCCATTCCGGCCGAAACATGCCGTTGGAGCCGCGGCTGTGTTCGTCTCTGGGGCTCATGCCACCATCCGCGTTTGGGTTGCTGACGCTCGGGGACCACGGGAGCATGCTGAGTTGCAACGACGATCGAATTCGCCGCGGAAATTGGCCGTAGACGTCGGCCAAGGCGCTATGAGCATCGCTGGCAAAGGCCGATATGAAGTCGGTGCGAAATGGCAGCGAACAGCGCGGCCAATTTTCCCACGAGGACCGTGCTGTTGTCCTGACGACACAAAGGGATGTAACGAGACGATGACCTCGTGCTTTCATTCATCAACAAAGCGCTAGTCCTTTGTACAAGAACTACCTGGATGGCGCTATGGTCGCTCACGGGCCTTGCGCTATGGCCTGGACTGTCTTGGTCGCGCCACTAGCTTCGGACCTTATAGACCTGGTTGGCCTTTGCTGTCTTGGCCGCGCCACTAGTTTCGGACCTTATGGACCTGGTCGACGCCACCCGAGATGCTTTGACCCCTTCCACCGGGAATATTGCGATCCGTGTGTTTGACACCGGCAACGTCTGGGTTTCAGCATCAACCCACGTCGTTTCAGGTGAGCGCTGGCAATATTGGCAAAGGCTGTGACACCAACATCCTGGGTCGGGGTCATCTGACGAGCCCTGTCCTTTGTGGTACAGAGTGGTACACAGAGTGGTACAGAGTTCGGACCTGCTTGCGCTGCCCTGAGCCCTTCAAGCCACCGGGCCTTTGTGTGTCAAGCCCACGCACCCAGGCTCGTGCAAAAGATCAATGAGCTCATCTTTTGTACGTCCACGCAGACGAAGCCCTTTGTTTGCACGCGTGACGACAAACGACGCTAGCACAAAGCGTGGGAAGATGAGGACCGAGCTTCGAGGCACCGAAGGACCCTGCTCACAGCATTGTTTGGTCAGGTCCTGGCAGTATGGAGGCTGTGCGAAGGAAGCTCTCGCGCGACAAAGGAGTGCGGACTCAGACTATGGTTGGCCTCACGTACGGATTGCCGCAGTCATCTCGGCCGCGAGGCATTCTCTTTGCCGCAGCACTCGCCGAGTCTTGAGCAAAGCGCCAACAAGAGACAAGCATCCGAGGGAGTAGCGCGCCCACATCACGCTCCGTCCGAGTCGACAATGATGCTTGAAGTGCGTAGCAGCGTCGAATGGCTCTTATGATGTTCCCATCCTGGCAAGCAAGTAACACCAGGCAACACGGCAAGGACGGGGCCGAGTGTGATCCTTCAGCGGGCCTTACTATCATGATCATAAGCGATGTGTCAGTCTTGCAACTTTGTTGGCCCTCGGTGAAGTCTGCAGAGCCCAACCCATTTGTTCTGCTGGTTGTGGTGACGCTGTCGACGTGTGGTATAGAATGCAGTTTTGGGGAAGGTCAGTGCGTCCGCACAACAGCCTTGTGACACAGCACATTTCGCTCGAGCAACGTCCACTCGGACTGAACCTGCCTCACCGGAACGGTCTTTTCCTCTCAGCTCCGACGATGAAGAACCAAACTGCATGCTGATCACCTCCGACCTGGACCCGCGACAAAGTGCAGTGGTGATGTTCTCGAACACGCCGAGGCTGGGATTCAAGGTCAGATCCAATCTGGATCTACACCGAGCAGGAAATAGAGCTCACGGGACAGCTTATTTCGAGAACGGACGAGCGGACGCCGAAAGAATGTATGCGGGGGACGGCCAATATGGCGCGGCTAGACAACGTCCGACGTACCGCCAGTCGGAGCTGGTGCACACCGCTCAGCGAACTCAGAAGTCGGAACTGCAACACGTTCTTGAACTACGTCGAGCCAAGCCCAAGGCAGTGTGTTGAGACTGCGAATGAGGATGCACAGAGAGGTGTGCAGAGCTGGACGCCAAATCGCCGCGACCAAGGCATCAAGGGCGTGCGAGACACCGCAAGCGAAGTTTGTTCTGCACCTGTGCGCACGCCGAACGCCGCCCTGCACTTCTTCCTTGCTGAAATCACACACTCGTGCGGCTTTCTTCCCGGACGGCTCGCTGACTTGCCTTGAACCCTTAGTTGAGGCATCCGGAATCCGAAACAAGGCATGCGGGTCGTGCTGCGGTTGGCTCAACGGAGGCGGTGGCCGATGCATCATGCCGGCGACCGCAGCTGGTCAACCTTCTGTCACGGGAAAAGCGCGCATCTGACTAGGTCTTTTTCATGCATCACGCCGGCTGTCACTGCCCGATGTGATTTTAGGCAAAGGCCCACCTTGAACCCTGAAACCCTCGCGCATTCAGCTTGCCGCTACGTCCATCCTCGGGACGGCAGGACGAAACCATTGGTCTTGAGCTGAGTGGCTGATCACAGTAGCTGGCGGTGCGATACTTCGCAGGCGTTCCTGGCCCGCGCAAGACCCTTGAAACGCTGCGAATGCAAAGCGTAAGCCGTGCGATGGCTTCACAGCCACGCTCGCTGGCGTCTCGGAACGCCGCATTGCCACTGAGCTGCAAGACTCCCGCACCATCATGGCTGGGTCAGCCATCGACTTGCTGGCTTGCTCGACCCGGATGCACGGGAGCTTTGCAGCTGGCGTGTTGGAAGGGTCCACCAGGGTCCCCATCCCACCCGACCGTTGGCTTCGTTGGCAAGAGCGTACCGTGGTTGTCGCTGTTTGTCCGGCGGTGTTGTAAGGGCTCACGCAGCTGACACGCCAACGGTACGCAGCGCCCGAGGCGTTTGGCGCCTCGCTCACACGGGCAAACCAAATGGCGTTTGCATCCCCCGTCCGCCGGAACACAGCCCAGAAACAGCACGACATGCCAATACGATCAACGGGAGTCAATGTCCAAGTTACCAGGTCCAGCTCGGATCACTCGGATCGAGAGAGGCTATTGTGTGTGTGTGCTATGATGGACATCGAATTCCGAGTGAATGCAGCGGAGCATGCGACCTTGGTTCGAAAGGTCAGGCGGCCATCCACGCTAACCATGCAGACCCTGCATTCAACGCAGCGGCCAAGCTGACTCGGACTCCTGCTCGAAAGATGCGGATCGCGGATATGCACAGCCATGCTGATTTCATACAGATTGAGCTTGTCGTGCTCATTGTCAATGGAGCGATGATGACAACGTCGAAAGGGTGAACCCAAGGGTCCGATTCAAGGCATCCGGTCAGTGGCGCGCGTCGGTTGCTCGCGAAGAATGCAGAGTCATCTTCGGCAGCGGAGTAGGAGCCGCGAGAATCGCCTCGCCAGCATGCTCAAAGAATGGGTGAGATTGGCGGCATGAATGAACGAGGTTGTGAAGATCCACGCGCGGTTGGCCGATGCTGGCTGTCGGCGAATCTGCACAGCAACGCTTTATTCGGCCATGCTAGTGTAGATCAGGGGTGCACCTGCCAGATTCGGCCGATCGCACCATTTGCACGCCTGTGAGTCAGCGATCTGCTTTGACGGCGAGCCGGAGAGCCCGTTCGGCAGGTAGGAGGGGATCGACGATTGCAGTGATGTGCGCCTTGGCGTCTGTGAGGCCGACACTCTGCAGGTAGCAAACAAGCCATCGCGGCTCGCATTGCATCCATGCGAGCCAGGCGGGCTGATCGCACTCGCCACTGCGGCGTCGAAGCCAACGTGTGGCGGTGGGCAGGCGCAGCGCCATTTGGCAGTATGGCGAGCAGCGGAGTGTGACTTTAGCGTCGGCGTGATGTGGTGCATGGGCGCAGCCTACGCGTGCGAGACAGAGATCCAGACCGTGTGCCTTTGCTCGAGTGGAATATTCTCATGCACCCTCTCTTCGCGCACATCTTTTTCCACCCCCGACCGCACAAGGGACAGCGGTTGCGGAAGCCCTTCCGCACGGCGCTGTCATCCCTGCGTCGTCGTCGGCGTAGCAAAAAAAGAAAGGACCTCCAGACTCCGATTGGCCGTCTGGGCTCGAATCACACCGCCGAACCCGTTCGGCAAGCCTGCCGCAGTCCACAATGCTCCCTTGGCTTTTTTCCTGCAAACACACGTCTTGCCTAGCGTGTCTCGCGAAGTCCGTCGCCGTTCACAGTACTGTAGCCCGCCCTTGGCTCGTGGTTCTGGATCTGTTTCGTTTCAAACACAAGGCCTGTCAAAACAAAGCCGTCTCGCATGCCTCTGGGCAGGAATGCCGTTAGGCCATGTGAAGCGCCTGGACTCGGACAGCCTTTCTATCGCTCTTTGCATGGGAAAAGCCCAGCTTGGATGCACCTCGTCATCTGCACACCATGTCGGATCGGATCGAGATGTGACATCTCCCAAAGCTGCAGCGATGTAGATCATGGGTGCACGTACGGGCTGCGGCCCTTTCGCGCTAGCCGCGACCGTCCCCGCGTGTGCTTGCTGTGCTGTGCATGGTGATGTTGCGGACGCGCCGTTCGAGCATCGCATGCAGCAACGCAGATCGGAGCCCGCGCTGCGATGCGGACAAGTTTGTGCTCGAATTGTCAAGCGAGGCGGAGCCAAGGAGCTGTGCAGGTGCGAGCCAATGTTTGTGTGATGTTAAAACAGACATCACCTTCGGCAAGCCTGAGCACGCGACGCAATGCCATGCCATGTCATGCAACTCGCCAGTGCCTTCTTGAAGCGACTTGCCTGACCTTGTGCTTGCGCTCTCGCTTCTCGGACGCTTTCAGACGCTTGTCGAACCATGATTCTTGCGAGCAGCGTGCAGCGGGGCGAGAAGGTGCATGTGCACGAGTGGATCCATGCCAAACAAGACCGACAATCTGATTTGTTCATGCCAAACCTGAACCGAGTACATGTTCTGGCCGAACATTCTCGTGCCGTTGTAGATGAAGCAGCGCTCGGACTGTCGAGCATGCCGAGATGTGTGCACAAGGCGCTCGCAGCGAATCAAACCGCATCGCTATCGCCGATGCGAATACCCAGTCGCCTGATCCCGGTTGGGGATTTGCGGTGAGATTTGCGAGCCAATTTTAGACGTCACTTTTTCGCGGTTTTTTAGCTTTTCCTGCCTTTTCGGCTTGAAGGCAGGATTGGGTGCCGGTCTCGGACAAGACCGACAGCCGACGAGCTCTTTTCGGCTACGACGCGCCGATGGCGTCAGTCTCTCGAGATGAGTGCACCCAGCTCTCCTCGCCACGCGACACTGTGTCTCGCGCCCATGACGACCACCACCGAGACACGCAACAAGAGACGCTGGCCCTGATTCAGCCCTTCGGTGCCGACGGGGACGAGCAAGTCGGCCCGACGTGCTGTTACTCGATCACGTCAACATTCGGCGAGACGCCCGAGATGCAAGCAGGAGAGTTCGGAGCAGAGTCGGCATGGCTTGCACCCGAGATGTGTGTGCAGTGCGTGTGCAATGCGTGCAAGGCGTGCAGGAGCGGGGAAGCTAGAGTCTGCACGCAGACGCAGAGTCGCACGAGAGAGAGAAAAGAAGGGATGCGACCCAGTTCGAAGAGTTCGAAGAGGGGGCCCCTATTCTTTCCCTGCGACCTACGACACCGAACAGCACAGGGGAGTGAGCGGGACCGGAGAGAATTCCGCCGATGCGCGATTTCGACACCGACGCAAGGGGTGGAAGCAGAGCGCGGGGGGAAGGGGGCGGCTGAAGGAGCCAAAAAGAAAAGAAAAAAGAGGACGAGGCGGAATTGAGGGAACCACGCGGCGCACCGGAAGGCGAGAGTCGGCTGGGTGCAGTTCGAACTCGCCTGCTGCCTAGCGAGGGCTCGCTAATGGCAGCATGCCTACGCGAAGGCAAGCCCTCCAAGATCCCATGCTTGGGTGACCCCACTCTGCTGCCGCTGCCAGGCGCGCCAGATGCACGAGAGAGAGAGAGAGAGATACAGTGGTCGGCTCGCCCGATCCGACTCCGATCTCTCACCTCAGGCGGCCACCCACTCGAGATCCAGCCTGGCAGAAGCGAGTTGCGGTCTGCATGGGTTTGCGGCTCGCCAAGGCACTCTGGCCCTTCCAAAGCACGCCGACACCTCGGCTGCTATTGTACAGCACAAGGCGATGTGCAGCTTCATCGCGATCGACCTTTCCTTTTTGGGATGCCACCCGTCCTTTTCTCATTCCGACCGCTGGCAAGGATCCGACTCGTTCCGTCGCCGTCGTCTGCGTAGACTAGTCTTCGGCAAGCTCGGCGACAGAGCTTCAACGCCACCGCTTGTTACGCGCTGAATCGTTGAAATGCTTCTGGCGCCCGCCTGCCGAGGCGAGACTAGCGCTGCGAGGGGGACCCCAGCCGACCAGCAACGCCACTGCAATAGGCACAGATGCGGCTCTTGACATTTTCAGCATTCGACATTCACACTACCGTAAGCTGTGTACTGAGCGTGAGCCGACGCAGTGTGCTTGCTTTAGTGCGCAAGCAGGATGATGTAGTGGCTTGCGTTTGGGCCGGTTGAAGAAAGGGGAGTATTGTAAGTGCAATTAGCGCATGCTCAAACCGGGCCTTTTTCATTGTTCGGTTCGGGAGCGCGATGGGGAGCCCTTTGCCGACATGGTTCGGAGCTTGAATATTTTCTAGTGCGCTCTAGCTCTTCCCCACCGGTGCGAGTCAAGAAGGATGAGGAGAGGGTGGTAGAGCGAGCCGAAGGTGGTGCCGAGACCTGGCGTGGAGTTGAGGATCCAGGAAATCCTTTCTGGCCGCGGCATCGGGTTGGGGCAGCTGGTGTGTTCGCGTCGGACGGGTGGCTGAGTCCGGTAGGCGGTGAGCCGCTGCGCCGGTGCTTTACGCGACCTCCTCGCGCTCGCGCTGGCAATCGTCCCGCAAGGTGGTTTCGCAAGGCTCCGTACATCTGACTGCCGAGATGTTGGTGCTGGTTGACTGGACAACCCGACAGCAGCCGGTCCGAGTTGCGTTCCGACACGTCACTGAGAGCAGTCGCGGCGGCTAGGACGAGATGCGAATCTTCGCCCCTTGTGTGTAGGCTTGGCGCGGGTAACGCGACCGCGTCATGGAAATTCGACCGCCCCTTTGTGTGACAGGCCGAAGCAAGATCTGTCACCGAGCCAAACGAGCGGATCACTCCCTACCCACGGTGCGAAGCTGTGCTTCCAAAGGGAACAAGCTTACCGCCCGACAAAGCATTGAGGCTTGCACGCATGCACGCCCGTGCGGGCCGCCTTTGCTGTCACAATCCCGCGTCCCTTTGAGCCTCCTACGGCTGCCGAAAACCAGTCTTGTTGCTGCGGCATGCACCTCTAGACAACTTTAGCACTGGATTCGGTGCGGGTGCGGCGTGCTTGCGTGGAGCCGATCCGGGGCAAAGGCGCGTGCAGGCTCGCGTGAGCATCAAGGCTGGCGCTTGTGCGTGCCGGGCATTAGCTCCGAGAGCAAGGCAAGGTAGATGCTGTCTGTGGCGTACGCCATCTGATACTGTGACGCCGGGCGCTCTGTTTGGAAGGGCTAGTGGAAAGAAACACGCTGTCCATGCGCACGCGAGGCCGGGCTGGAACTAGAAAGCGTCTGGACAGGCGCACCTGCTCGGCTGCGACAGAGGCTGCTATGCCGAGCAAGCCCGAGAGTCGGTACGGTCGGCGTACAGTTCTGGCGCTAGTTTACAACGCCGGGCGCGTATAAGCGAGAGCTATGCATATCTGTCCACCCCCTCCGGGCCTCAAGCCAGTGGTTCCGGTCATGCCCGGATCGTTTAGCACCAGATTGGAGTCGTGTCCAACTCGCGCGAGCCAAAACAACGCGCCTAGGCTTGCCACCATCCTCGTGGTTGATGCCAGCATCCCGTGTGATGGTTCTCCGCCTCCGCCTGCGCCGCCTCGTGGACGCCAGCCACGCTCGTGCCATGGTAACTGCGCTCGTGGCGTGCGAAGTTGAGCTGCGCCGCGCTGGTCGGATCCATTGTGGATGGAGAGCCACCAAAAATGCCGACGCATTGTCTCGAGCATTGAGGCGGAGATGGCAACGCGAGGTTGACAGCCAGATCTGCGGTGTAGCGTGTGTTCTCAAACCCCGCCGTGCCACCCTTGCGCCGCTGTGGACAACCTGGAGTGCGGCTGCCGACGCACAGGTGAACAACGCTGCAGGCGCTGCATCATGCAGACACCCCTGCGTTTGGCTCCCTAGCACCTTTTTTTTTTTTTTCTTGCGCAACACCTTTTTTTTGTCCTCCGACGCAGCACGCCGTTGCGCCAACGCATGAAGGCAGAGGCAACTTTGGTTTTTTCTTTTTACGAAATTTGGGGGAGGGGGGGGGGGGCTAGTCGGCCCGTCTGCGCAAAATTGCACCGACGAGAGGCGGTCCAAGCTTTTTCTGACCGCGGTCCGAGCTGACGGGTTGAGCTGGGGTTTGGTGTGCAGCCCGTCCGTTCCGTGGGCCGAGCAGAGCGGCTTCGGGACGCAGCCTCTGCGCTTGGGTTGCGGTGCGGAATCGAAAAAAAGAGGCGCAACAAGGGACCCTTGCTTCCATTGTGCCCGTTGGTTGCTTTCTCGTCGGGCGCATCTGGTTCGGCCATGTTCCCTTTGCCCCTTGCGCACGAACGCCGTCGAGGTTGTCCCTTTGAGTCGCTCGTTGTCGCCGCTTGTTGGAGCTACGACGGTCAATGGAAGGCGAAGGTGTGGGAGAAAAAAGCGGGCGGTGCAAAGCCCTGGGCGGTTGCCTTGGGTGGTGGCCAGCCTCGTGGCGTGTGTGCGCGCGCGCGCGCCTGCGGTTGCCGAGTGCGCCCTGGTCGCCGACGCTAGGTTCGCCACTTGGTTGTCTCGGTCTATGCCTACCGCCCCTTGCACACGCAGCGGTGTGTGCGACTCGCAACTGGCTGCCTAGCGTGGATGGACCCTCCCCTCCTCCTAGCTGTCACCGCATGGTGGCAGTTTCCCCACGCCCTTTCAGAGGCGTGCTTGTCGCCGAGCCGCCGCCGTCGCCGCGCTCAACAATGCGTTTTAGGCTTGGTGCCAAAATCCAAGTGTGCGACTCGTCGAGCCCAAGCGCAGCAGCTCGGAATTGCAGCATTGGTAAGGGCTCGGATCGACGCCGCGCTGCTCCAAGCCGTCGTCGATCCTTGGATGCGAAGGAAGCTGTCGAAAGCTGGATCAATGCACAGCCCGCCCTGCTCGGTCCGCCGCGTAGCTCTGTTCGCGAATCGGCCTGTTGCCCCGAGCTCCGGCAGTGCTTGCTCATCGCGAGCGTCGAGCAGGCGTCATTTGGACCCAAGGAGTCGAGGGTGGCTAGGCCATGCAAAGTGTCTAGCATTTCGGATGGCCGGTGTTTGACGACTGGCTGCGCTCACAGACAGGCGCGGTCGCCGAAAGGCCTCGAGACAGGCTCACTCGGTGTCCCTTCGAATCGATCTCTGCCTCAGACAGACTCGAGCGTTGAAGATTAAAGATTAAAAAGAAAAAGAGACTCAGAATTTCGAAATTCGAAAAAAAGGTGGTCGAGTTTGAACGGCCACCCTGCCTGTGTCTGTGTGGCTCGCCAAGCCAGCTGCAGCCCGAATCAGGCGGCGCTGCGCTTCGCCACCTCCCACGCGCGCCCCCTGCGCCCGCGCCAGATTTGGCAGCTCCACTCCGCCTGTCACTTGGCGATTTAGGGCGTCGCGCGCCGCCCAACTTTTTTTCGCTCTTTCTTTTGCCCCGCAGGAGCAGCAGCAGCAGCAGCAGCAGCAGCAGCACCTGCCAACTCGTGATCACATGGAAATTTATTTAATTTTTCTGTATTTTCCCAACGGCGCCCGGCAGGATTCCTTTTGTTTCTTGGTTTCAGGCTCTCGAGCCCGTTCGCTCTGCCTTTCGCCCGTTTTCGCCTCGCGAGCTGAGAAAATTTGAGACGGGGCGGCGGCGCATGGCTGTCCGCTGCCAGGTTGGCCGCCAGATTCGCCGCACGACAACGCTGCACGAACAACCCTTCCGCCCCTCCAGGTTCGGCACCCGTCTCGAGCGTCCGACAGGGAGGCGCATCCAAGTTTTCGCCAACGAGGCCCAAGTTTTCTGCTCCCCTCCTTTGTTCGCGGCTCAAGCGCAGCTCAAGCCGCCCTTCCCACTTCGCCACCCTTGACTGCTGCTCATCCGCTGGAATTCCAAGCCTGGGTCCCATCCCGTCGGTGCGACGAGAGCCGTGCCATCAAAGGGCAGCAGCCACCTCTTCGCCTCGCCCTCGCGTGTTGGCCCTCCCTCTCCTCTCGCGTTGAGGCGTGTTTTGAGTGCGCTCCCCTGCCCTTTCTGTTCGAACGGGCCCCGCTGCTGCCCGACTGCCTCCCGAAACCTTAAGCGGGCAGGCGCTCTTTCTCCGCCTGGCGGCTGCTGTTCTGTTCGCCCTGCCACATCAAGCTTGGCCGCTCACTCACTACACTCACTGCTCACTGCTCACCGCTCTCCGCTCGACATTCGAACCTGGGCCGACACCTCCTTCCCGCCGCCGCCGCCCGCCGCCGATTTCCAATATATCCCTTCCACCTTGAACCCGTCAGCCCGGCTGTCTCTCCCCCCTCCGTTACCCCAGACCATCCCTCCTTTGTCCCCCCAACCTTCGAGCCCTCCTACATCTTGCTGAAGGCGCCACCACCATCTGGACCAGCATCCCACGCAGTACTTCCTTCACCAACCTCCAGTAGACTTGTCCTCCTTGTTCGACTCGCCATCTCACGTCTCGCTTCCAATAGATCCGCGCCTGTTTCATTCAGCCGCTGCAACATCCTTCCGCACCTCATAAGCCTCAAACCACTCGCCCAAAAAGCCATCGCAGCTACCACATCCTGGACTTCCTTGCATCTCGTGACGTCTTCGATCCCAGCTTCTGGTTCGCACAAAGCATCGTCTGCCATCGTCGCATCCCATCGTCAAAGCTCCCTTCTCCACGTCTAAAAGCATTCTCCAATCTCAACCCTCTCTCCAACCCCCACCCACGCAAACACAAGCATCTGCCTCCCACCCCTACACCAGCCTTTCATCAACTTCGACTTTGCATATCGCCCTCCGCACCACGCAGCTCTCTCGTCCTTCCGACAATCTGGCCATCCTCTCATATGCGCACTGCAGCTCAACACTCCCACTCCATCCTCTGATTGTCTCTCCCAAAGTTGCCACCTAGTCCGTGCATCTTTTCCTCGTCGGCCCTCTCCTCTACCCTCTGTCTACCAACTCGTCAGTCAACATGGCCGCCACCGTCGCCCCCGCCTACACTGCCTCGCATGGCCACCAGTCCGCCATGGACGTTTCGGCTGCCTCGGCCACTGCCGCCGCCACCAAGGCCTCTTCGTCTTCGTCGTCATCGTCGCGCCCATCGCAACGATCCGAAGCGCAAGACCGCTTCTACGGTTATAGAGGTGAGTGCTTCCTTTCGTCATCCTCCCATGTTGACCTGCCAACATTTTGACTGACAATCATGTATCCATCTCTTGCTATCGATCACAGAAACCTCGGAGCTCTGCGAAAGGTTCATCCTCTACCTCTTCGCCTGCCCGCTCGACTCGACCTCGGCATCCGCCAGCCTCGCTTCGTCCAACGGCACGCCCGCTCCGCGCCTCTCCGAGTTCATCGCCTACGCGCTCTACAGGACGCGTCTGCCCGAGGTCGTCACCTTCCAGGCGCTCTACCTCTTGTTGCGACTCAAGATCCGCTTCCCCGCCGCGCGCGGCTCGTCGGGCCACCGCCTCTTCATCTCGGCGCTCATGATCGCCAGCAAGAGCAGCTGCGACGACACCTACTCCAACAAGAGCTGGGCCATTGTCGGTCAGGGCCTCTTCAGCCTGCGCGAGATCAACCAGATGGAGCGCGAGCTCTTCGGCTACCTCGGATACAAGGTCAACGTCTCGCCCGAGGAGCTCGAGGTGTTCACCTACGAGCTCGAGCAGGACTGCGACGGCGGCCGCATCGACCTCGTCGTGCGCAAGATCCTCGAACTCATGTCGCGCCGCAACAGCATCGACGACGCCAGCATCAGCATGGCGCGCGAGCGCTCCGAGAGCGTCTCGAGCGCAAAGTCGTCGGCTCCGCCCACGCCGGCGCTCGAGTCGTCGGGCTTCTCGTCGCCATCGCTCGACTCGCACGCCGGCCCGCAGCGCGTCTCGTCCGGTCGCCACTCGCGACAGTCGAGCGTGTCGCACTCGTTTGGCCAGCGCGCCAGCATCTCGGGCTACGCACCTGCCACCATGGCCGTGTCGAGCTCCACCGGCCACCTCGCCAGCGCCACCTCCACCGGCGCCGCCGCGGCTGCCATGCCCACCGCCACGCCCATGGTCAAGAGCGCCAGCCACCGCCAGGAGAGGAGCGCCACTGCACCGAGCTTCATCCACCCCTTCATCAACCACGCGCGCGAGAGGTCGTGACCGTACACGATGCCCACGCACAGCATGCCGCTGTCGTCGTCGTCGTCAGCCTCGAGCTGTGCCGAGCGTTCGTACTACTCGAACTCGCCTGCTGCCAGCATCTCTTCGTCCTCGGTATGCTCGTCCATGTCGTATGCGCACTCGAGCGCCATGTCGGCCACGCCTTCGCCGTATGCATCGCGCTCCACCATCAGCGGTCGCACCACGCCCGACACGCCTCCCTCGGACCTCGACTCGACGCAGTGGGAAGACGCACGCTACTATGGTGTTGACCTCAAGTCGGAGCTCAGCCCGTCGTCCACGGGCGCCTACAAGCTGCCGCACCAGACGGCTGCGCCCGCCTTTGCACAGCATGCGTCGGCTGCCGACTCGTACCTGCATCCGTACAGCTGGAGGTCGTAGTCTTTTTTTCATACACACTCTTTTTGTCGCGCATCTTTCTTTTCTATCGTTGGTCGGCCTCGCCTTGGCTCAGCTGCGCGAGACGCTCCGGCCTTTCGCAACAGTCCCTTTCTTTGCATCCCCACACCCACTGGCTTCGTCGCATTCCCTCTTCTCTCTCAGCTGTACGTGGTCCGCGAGCATCGTCTCTGCTGGACTCGCACCCCTCTCCCCCGATGTGAACCTAGATACCCCTCGTCTCCTTCTCAAAATCAACGCATTCGAGCATCTGTTGATCGTCGCCGAGAATCCACAAAACAAGTTCTTCGCTTTCCACTGCTGTCTGTGCGTTTGCCGCCTGCCTTCCTCGATATGAGTACCTTCTTGCATCTACATTCACTCGGCAGCCTCGTCGCATCGCCCTGTTCATTTTTCACCTCGCGAGCACTGCTTCTGCGGGACTCGCAAGAATCTGTCTCTATCCGCTGTGTCTGTGCATCTGCTTCCTGTTCTTCCTTCGTTGTCAGTATCTTTTGCCACCCACCAGCCGCTGTGCATCCACCCATCAGCCTCTTCTGCTACGTCATGAACCNCCCCCTCCCCCTTCCCCCCTCTTCTCAAACCCCAACGCATTCGAGCATCTATCTTGTCGCCATCGTGCCTTTTGCTGTTGTCTGTGCTTTTGCCGCCTGTTCTTCGTCATCCGTCCCTTTTTTTTTGCAGCCATTCATCCAGCCTCGTCGTATCACCTGCGCGTCTTCTTGCCCCCTCTCAGCTGTACGTGGAGCATTGCCGCTGTTGCACGCGTCCTTCGATGTGAAGCTAGATACCCCTCGCCTGTCCCTCCAGGACCAACGGATGCGAGCAAGATTACTAGTCGCCGTCGAGAATTCAACAAAGCCGTTCCTCGCTGTTGACGGTGTTTGCATGTTTGCTGTCTGTGCCCCTCTTCATCAGTCACTTTTCTAGAAACCTCTTTCCTCAAGCATGACGCAACGCTGATCAGTGTGCTTGTGCTTGCTGCGCTGGGTTTGTGGACGTCGCACCGTCCGCTTGTACCCTCCCGCGAGAAGTGCTTCTTCAGGACTCGCAAGACTCTTTTGCTGTTCAGTGTGTATGTCTTTGCCGCTTGGGCTCCTGATCATTTGCTTCGTGGTATCCACGCTCAACCTCTGGTTGCATCACGCTTTTGTCTTGCAGCCGCTAGCACTGATTCTACTGAACTCGCATGGATCTGTCGCTGTTCACTGTGTGCGTCTGCCGCTCGTCATCCTCATCACCAGTCTCTACATTGCGAGCACTCGAGAATCTTGCGCTCTGTGCCGTGTCTGTGCGTTGGGCGGCTATCTTGCTCATCAGTCAATTGCATCGCCCGCCTGTCTTTGGTGAGCACTGCTTCTGCTGGACTCGCACCTCTCGCGCCGCCGAGGAACTACACGTGAAATCTTGCTTCACTCGTGTGCATGCTGGGTTGGGCCTGTGGATGTCGTCACAGCTAGACTACGCTTTCGCTGTTCTTTGTTTCATGCGAACATGCGCGCTGCTTCGCGCCCAGCGCGACGGTTGCTCACCATCCAGCGCTGGTCCGCGAAGCGAGGCGTGAGATTCTTCCTGCACTCGTTTCGTACTATTCCATTTGCGTGAGTCTCGGGGCACACCTACGTACATTGAATGTTGAGGCTTGGGATCTGCAGGCGGCATGGGCGGGCTGACCGGGGACGGGAAGGTCGGGGACGGAGAGTTTTGTGCGGGTTTCAGATGTCCGTCTACCACTGATCTGGTTCAAAGTGAGACCTGGCACTGATGAAATTCATGCGTGCCAATCGGCTCCCGTGCCTGCTCACCACAACCACACCGCACCGTTGAGGTATCTATAAGATCCTGGATGCGAGTTTCACTTGGCGTTATTCATGGCAAAGGACAGATATGTCAGGGCGGGAGGGAGATTTTGGCTGTCCGAACTTGTGGGTGGAAGCCTCTTTTTTGGGCGCCATGCAAGGGGGTTGGTGGCGGCGCTAAAGGCATCCAATCATCTCTCGGCTAGGCTACAAGACTGTCCGGCTCGTTTTGGCAGTCAGACCGGGACTAGTGGTTTCTTCTTGCTGCGGGGCTCCCCTGCTTTTGCGCCACTGAAGACTCGCTTCCAGCTTCTCGGTACTTGCCACCGACGCTAAGATTGCATTGGCGAGCACGCCAGTTGTCGGAACGGTGCAAAACACTCGGGGCAATGCTCGTTGGCGTGCATTGGATCGTGCCAAAGCGCAACCTGGATTGACCAAGTTCCAGTTGTCTGGACACCTTATGCACAACTCATCGGAGCCTCCTGGAAGCTTCTTTTCAGTCGGAGACACACGCCCATGATAGCGTGCAGTGTTGCATCCCGATCCCTTGCCGTGCAATTCTCTTCCAAATCAGTCTCCGAACCTACATCTGGGAGGCTTTGCAATGCACGCCCAACAGCTTTGCAGGAGGGATGGGGGGCCGCCGAGCAGGGTTGCGTCGGGAGCAAGCTGCTCCGAACATGCCGAACTCACCCAGGACACGGTAGCTAGGATACGCGGCCGAGGTGCAGCTTTACCGCGCGGATGGGCGTTTTCAGCTGCTCATCTCAAGATCCGCCAAAGATGCGGTGGCTGCAAGGTTGTCGCCGAAATCTCCGCAATGCCGCTTCGTCTAGGTCGCTTTGAGATTCCGGTGGAACACAACAAGAGCGTATACTTCCACGTGTGGATTCGGGCATTCCCATACACCGTGTAACCAAAAAAGACCCTGGCGGCAAAGGCGAGGCGGAGATGCAAGGGCGTGCAGACGCCACCCGCCTTGCCTTGCTGCGGCTCTCTCACGCCCTTGCCCAAATTTCTCCCAACCCCGCTCCTTCCCTTCCGGACGGTCATGCTGGGTGCACATCCATCCTCTTGGGCGTAAGACCTATCTGGACGAGCTCCATCATGCTCAAGTGCGGCTCTTTGCTTTCAGCCGCCGCCAAAGCGCTTGGCAACCCGACATGCACGCCCGCCGAATTCGCCGCAACACGGTTGCCCGCCTTCCGCTCCACATCTTCCCGGAGCCTATAATAACACCCGAACGAGAGCGATTTTCCGATCTCGGAATCTGCCCGATCTGCGAAACTTGCGGCCCCGCCAATCGGATCGATACGCGTCTCGGTGAGGTGAGCGCGGCCGCGCTATTTGACACAAAGGGACTTGGAGGCCTGGGAATTTGGCAGCCGCTGCCCTTTGTTCTGCTGCGTGGGAGGGAGGCGAAAAGGCGTGCTAAAGGCAGAAGAAGTCCCTTTGTCACTCCATCCCACAGCTCGGGCTGAGACAACAATGCCTTGCAAACCGAAACTCCCACACCGAGCCATGTCGCATACAAAGGAACGACAGAGCCATTGTGTCTCTGCATGTCGTACCTTGAGCAATGAGCACGATCCAAGCCGCTTACCCGGACGTTGATGTTGTCCCTCCAACATCTCCTTTGCCACCTTCCTGGACCCCCTCTCGACCATCCCTCCTGAAGCTGTTGCAGTAGAGGCAACGCGTCCGAGTGAACAAGATGCCGGGCAAGCGCAAATCTGAATCCAAAGCTTCACCTTCAACGCTCGCCAAGCCATCGCTGCGGCTACTTTTCAGCTTCCTATCACGGCGCGATGTGGTCCTACTCCTTCTGCCGGCGGTCGCGTCGTCGATCGCGGTGGGCATGGTGCCAACCGCCATGTCCAAGGTCGTCGGTCACGCGTTTGATGCATTCACCAGCTACGGGCGCGACTCGGCCACCGCGCCCGCACACGCTGCCGCCGAGGTGAACAGCCACTTTATCAACCGGATCCTCGGCTCGGTGTATGCACTGCTGGGTCTGGCCGCCGCGATGCTCGTCATCAGCACACTCTCGGTGTCCGCGTGGATCTGTCTGGGCGAGCTCGCGGCTGCACGAGTGCGGTTTGCGGTGTTTCACAGCGTGATCGCCAAAAAGATGGCGTGGTACGATACGGGCATGGGTCTTACCAGCGACGACCAGGATGACGGCGAGCAGGTCGAGATGTCGCCGGCGGGGCTCATGACCAAAGTCGCGCGCGAGTGCGATGATCTGCGCGTCGCGCTCTCCCGCGAAGTCGGCGATGTCATGCAGCACATCACCACCGCGGTGGCGAGTCTGGTGCTGGCCATGTACACGAGTTGGAGCCTGACGCTCGTCATTCTCGCCTCGATCCCCGTCGTGCTGGTGCTGACTGTGGTCACCGAGATCGGCGCGAATCCGTGGCTGCAGCGCGAGCGCACCAGCACCGCACACGCCACCTCGTTGGTCGAACGCGTGGTCGAGGCGATCAACACCGTCAAGTCGTTCAATGCACAGAGCAGAGAGTCGGCGCGGTTCGACAAGGAGCTCGCCAGTGGCTCCAAGTCATATCGCCGCATGCTGCTGTGGTGGGCCGTCCGATTCGGTGTCACGGGCGGGCTCGTCTTCGCCACCTTTGTGCAGGGATTCTGGTTCGGTGCGCATCTGGTGAGCAAGGGAAAGCTCAGCCCGGGACAGGTCATGACCGTGTTCATGGCGAGCCTGCTCGTGTCCGGCACGCTCAACGAGATCGTCCAGGCGCTCTCGTATATCGACAAGGGCAAAGTCGGGGCAGCCAACCTGGTCAACCTCATCAACTCTCCAGACGACACCAGGGCGGCGCAGACGCAAGCAGAGCGAAGAGGGTCCAAGACCGCAAGCTCGATTCACTCGACGGGCTCCGAGAGCAACGAGAAACATTACTCACATACGACGCACGCCAAGTCGGCTGTCGGCAGCGAAGAGATGTTCGACATTCTCGAGTACGATATGACCAGGGCCAAGGCAGTGCCTATGTCGATCGAGCACATCCCAACCACGCCTTCGCCGGGCATCCACAGTCCGGATCACTTTACCTACCGCGCTCGACCGCGCGTGCACACCATACGCGGTGCGCGGAGTGCGGTGCAGGGACTGCGTCGAATCGCACCCGCCACGTGCCAGGGCGAGGTGCACCTGCGAGGCGTGAGCTTCAGCTATCCGTCGCGCCCCGACACGTGCGTGCTGCGCAACGTCGACCTCTACTTCCCACCCGCCGAGATGACGTATGTCGTGGGCGGTAGCGGGAGCGGCAAGAGCACGATCGCTCACCTCCTGCTGCGTCTGTACGAGCCGTCGGCGGGTACGATTCAGATCGACGACCAGACGATCGAGTTCCTCGACCCGCACTGGTGCCGCCAACACATCAGCGCGGTAAGCCAGGACCCGATCATCTTTGACATGAGCGTGCACGACAATGTTGCGCTCGGCCTCGTCGGTACTGCACAGGGCTCGGCGACATCGGGCATCCCCAGTGTCGCACGCGAGGACGTCGAGGCTGCGTGCCGACTCGCGCTGCTGCACGAGTTTGTGCGTGATCTACCGGAGGGCTACGAGACCAGCCTCGGGTCAAATGGCACAGCGCTCTCGGGCGGGCAGAGACAGAGGCTGGCGATTGCACGCGCAAGGCTGCGCGATCCGGCCATCTTGATCCTCGACGAGGCCACGTCGGCGCTCGACCCGACCACGCGCCACCTGGTGCACGAGGCCATCAAGACGTGGCGCCGCGGCAAGACGACGATCGTCATCACGCATGATCTGTCCCAGATCGAGCCGGATGACTTTCTGTACCTGCTCGAAAACGGAGAGGTCGCCCAGCAGGGGTACCGCTCCGACCTCGAGGCCAAGGATGGTCCGCTCAGGACGTTGTCGCTCCAGCAGCATCAGCGTAGCCAGCAGGAGGACCAGGAAAGAGAGGAAGTGGTGGAGCAGCTCGAGGCGGTGGGGAGGGAAGAGCCGCAGGGGAGGAGGAGACGCATGAAGTACAGGTCGATGTTCGGATGGGAACGCGAGGCCGGGGTGATTTCGGAGCATCTGTCGCTCATCATCTCGCAGAAGCTCGACAGTACGCCGTCGCATCTCAAGCCGCTCCGGCTCGCCGAGCGCCAGGCGATGAATACGTACTTTGAGGACGCCGAGACGCTGCGTGCTTCTGGATCTACCGCGAGCGACCGACGTGCACGCACTGTGGTGCTGGAAAGGAGGCGGTGGGATGACGTACAGTCGCACGTCTCGTCGGAGACCACGATCCACACGGGGGCACCAGAGGTGGAAAAAGCAGGTGCGGCCAAGGTGGCGACGATGCGCGAGGTGTGGCAGATCCTCTGGCGAACAATCCCGAGCCGGGCACTTTTGGTGGCGGGAATAACGCTGTGCATCATGGCGGGAGCACTCACTCCGGTGTTTTCGTTCCTGCTCGCGCAGCTGGTAGCGACCATGGGGCGACCAGACCAGCAAGCGGCCGTGGTCAAGTGGAGCCTGCTCGTGCTGCTCGTGGCGCTGCTCGAGGGCGTGTTTTCCTTTACGCGCTATCTGCTCATGGAGACGCTGGCGGATGCGTGGCTGCTGCGTCTGCGCAGCTCGTCGTACCGCCACGTTATCGCGCAGGACCGCACGTGGTTTGATCGGGGCGAGAACTCGCCTGCGCGCATCTGCCAGAGCATCGTCAAGGACGGCGAGGACGCACGTGGTCTGGTGGGGCAGATCATCGGCCAGCTCGCGCTGATCTGCTCCATGATCACGCTCGGCATCGTATGGGCGCTCGTGGTGGGCTGGAAACTCACCCTCGCAGGGGTAGCGTTCGGACCCGTGTTTCTCGCGGCCACGTTCTGCCAGAGCAGGGTGATCAGCGTGTACGAGGCGTGCAACAAGCTCAAGCGCGAAGCGGTGTCGGAGCGTCTGCATGCAGCGCTGTCGCACATCCGTGCCATCCGTGCCATGGGTCTCGAGAGCGTCTTCGCACAGCTTCATCAGGGAGCGTTGGACGATGTGCAGCGGTGCGGTATGCAGGCTAGCGTGTTCTCGGGCTTCGGTCATGGCCTCAGCGATGCGCTGACGTACATCGCCGAGGCGCTCATCTTCTTTGTGGGCGCGAAGCTGATCGTGTCCGGAGAATACGACTTTGCACGGATGATGCAGGTGTTCAACCTGATCATCTTTGCGGTGACGTTCGCGGCGCAGATGCTGACGTTCCTGCCGGGCATGTCGAAGAGCATGAAGGCGCTGGTGGATCTGGACCGACTCGTTCGGTTGGGAGAGGCGGATGCGCAGCGTGGCGAGGCAAAGGGCGAGATGACGTGCGATGTCAAGGGCGAGATCGAGTTCCGCAACGTCGGATTCGCCTACGACGGCAGGAGCGAGCGCGTGCTGGATGGTGTGCAGTTCAGCATTGGCGCGGGCGAGTGCGTGGCTGTTGTAGGCTCGTCGGGATGTGGCAAGAGCACAGTCGCTGCTCTGCTGCAGAGGCTGTACGAGCCGAGCTCGGGAGAGATTCTGGTGGATGGAGTGCCGGTGTCGTCTCTCTCGACTGCGTGGCTGCGCGAACACCTCAGCATCGTCGGTCAAAACCCGAGCCTGTTTGATCTATCCATTGCGGCCAACATCGCGTACGGAGCCAACTCGAAGCTGTACGATGCGTTCGACACGTCGCTATCGGACTCGGACCTGGAGCTGGTGCATCAGTCCGCGCGGGCTGCCAACGCACACAGCTTCATCGAGCACCTGCCCGAATCGTACGCCACCAGTGTCGGTGGGGGCGCGACGGGGTCGGGTAGCAAACTTTCGGGTGGACAGGCACAGCGCATTGCGATCGCGCGAGCGCTGATGCGAGTACGTGCTCGCATCCTGATTCTCGACGAATGCACTTCGGCACTGGATCCTGCCAACCAGCAGCTGATTGTCGAGACGCTGCTGGATGCCAGAGCCGCCCTGCGCCAACGCCGAATGACCACGCTCGTCATCACGCACAACGTCGACATGATGCGCCGATGCGACCGCATCATCGTGCTCCGAAACGGCACCGTGGCCGAACACGGAAACTTCCAACAGCTGCTCAGTCAAAACGGCCACTTTGCCTCGCTCGCAAGAGCCGGTGAATGGACTGGCTAGAAGCCCCACACATATTCCCCAACGGATCCTTCTTTCGCACTTTGTTGTTTGCAATGCATTTTCACTTTTTCCTTCTGTCACTCGAAAGAGGTATGAGACGTGAAAATTGGCAGGCCTATGCGTCTTCTTCGTCGTCGTCGTGGCGCCTGAGGGTGGGTGCGCCGCGGGTGCGCGGATCAAAGTTGGCGCCATCGATGTTGTGGTTGAGCGCCTTGGTGACCTTGCGTTCGATCTTGTCGGCCTCGTCGAGCTTTTTGGCGCGCACGCGCAGGCCCTCCTGACCGGCCTTAGACAGCACGCCGATGATCAATTCGACGCTGCGGATTGAGTCGTCGTTGGCGGGGATCGGGTAGGTGACGCACCGGGGATCGACGTCCGAGTCGGTAATGGCGATGGTGGGGATATTGGCCTGTGTAGCCTCCCTGATGGCAAACGAGTTCTCCACGGGGTTGAGCACCACGACCAGATCAGGCTGGAGGGTCTGCGATGCGAGCCTGTTGGTGTTGGCGTTACCGGACGGATCCAGGTCGGCCATTGACTTGAGGATGGCGGAAGCAAGGAGCTTGGGTGCGTTGGTGATCACACCGGGCATCCAGCGCTCGGCGGTTACATGGAATCCGTTAGCTCCCAGACGTTTAGTCGCAGCCAGCACAGCAGCCTGCTGACCTGGACGCGTGCCGACGAAGAGGATCACGCCGTCACGCTCGGCGATCGCCTTGACCACCGCCGCTGCACGACGCAGCGCAGGCAGCGTCGCGCGCTCCAGATCAAAGATCGCCACACCATGGCGCTGGCCGTAGATGTACGGCTGGTTGGCGGCCTTGAGCGACGAGAGCGAATGGCCCACCTGGGCGGTGGAGGCGACGAGGTGCTGGAGCGTGAGCTGGTGTGCGTCCACCGGGTTGAGACGCAGCTTGTGTGGGCGAAACGAGGTGGCTCGTGTCTGGGTGCTGCCGAGGTCGGAGAGATTGTTCATCACAGCACGTCGCAGTCGACGCCTCTCGACGGCATCGTCCGAGGATTGCGACTCGGCGGCGGGGTTCGAAGCGGCCACAACGTCGGCGGCAACAGCGGCAGCAGCAGTGGCCGAGGCACCATCGGTTGGTGCGGAAGACTGCACTTCGGTCGAGAGCTTGCGCGCGAGCACGGCAGAGCGCGAAGAGACAGAAGAGGTGGCCGTGCCCCTCAGCAGGCTACCGAGGGTGGTTCTGGAGGTGCTCGCGATCGGACTAGCCATCGTGAATGCTCGATGTATACGGAGTAGGTAGCAGGTGGAGTGTCACACGGATCATCACCACCATCATCAGCTTCTTCACACTTTCTTCGCCTCGCCTCGACTCTCCGATCTCGGAACCGGCTGACTCCGAGCACTGTCGCACGAGAGAAGCCGCTCCAAATCGAGTCGAGAGCGCGTCGAGCCAGTGCCGCAGCCACTCGATTCTCAATTCGCACTCGATGCCCACTCGCAAAAACGAATAGAGCCGCACTACAAAATTGTAAGCGGGGTTAGGGTGCCGAGTTTGTATTGCTGCGACGTTTCTTCCAAAATTTTTCTTCGGGCTGCAGTTGGATTTTGCAAAAAGCTCGCCAAGAGAGCCGTGTGACCCTGGACGAGAAGAACAGCGCCAGCCACCGAGAAGAAGAAGAAGAAAAAAATCCTGCCTGGCTCAAGAGAGAGAGAAAGAGAGAGTTTGGATTGGCCACTGCCCGACTGCACAAACACACAGGCGCGGTCGCCGCCCAAGTTTTTGGCCACTCTGAACGCAGAGGAGGGCCAGGCCCGGTGTCGAGGCAGAGCGAGAAAGAAAGTGAGAGAGACACCCACAGCCAGGCAGTCTGAGCACAGGTGGCTCGACCAGCAAACAGAGCAGAGGGGAGAGCCACGGCTCAAGAGACCTTGGTCGCGATCCTTCTCTTTTCCTCTACTCCATCACCCCATCCCTCCCCCCTTCATCACAAAACAAACTTCGTCATCATGTCCAGCGAGGTTCCCGCTACCCCCGTCGACGAGACCGTCTACCAGGGCGCCATCGGTATCGGTACGTATCCTGCACAGCGTCTCAGCACCAACCCAGCATTTCGAATCCGCACGCACCACTCGACCCAACAAAAGCACCAGCATTTCGTCGTCTGCATTCCATTCGGCAGCCGATGCTTTGCAAGTCTTTTACGCAACAGCTAGGTTGTGGCGAGTGGCGCAAACCGGAGGCCCTTCTTCCACCCATGCAAAATGCGACCAGCAGACTGACCTTGCCCGCATTGCCTCGCTACAGACCTTGGTACCACCTACTCGTGTGTCGGCTGGTGGGTCAACGAGCGTGTCGAGATCATCGCCAACGACCAGGGTAACCGCACCACCCCCTCGTACGTCGCTTTCACCGAGAGCGAGCGTCTCATCGGCGATGCCGCCAAGAACCAGGCTGCCATGAACCCGCGCCAGACCGTCTTCGACGCCAAGCGTCTCATCGGCCGCCGATACGACGACCCCGACGTCAAGAAGGACATGCAGCACTGGCCCTTCACCGTCATCGACAAGGACGGCTCCCCCTTCATCGAGGTCAACTACCTCGGCGAGACCAAGCAGTTCTCCCCCCAGGAGATCTCCTCCATGGTCCTCACCAAGATGAAGGAGATCGCCGAGGCAAAGATCGGCAAGGAGGTCAAGAAGGCCGTCATCACCGTCCCCGCCTACTTCAACGACTCGCAGCGTCTCGCCACCAAGGATGCTGGTACGTACTATCCAACTGTTTTTGCTGCTTCTGCTGCTGCGACTATTGCCTCCGTCGCTGCTACTGCTTTCGCCGCTTCCGACTCGGCGCTGCATTTGCTGCATTTGCTGCATCTGATGGGACGGGAAGGGCAAGATGATCGACCTCGATTGCGCAGCGATGATACAAATTTATTCCATGCTAATTCCGAGGCTACACCAGCGGTGCGGAAGCAAAAATACTTACTAAGAACGGCTAGCTGAGCGCATTCGCTTTACCCTGCCTGGCTCTTGTCCAGGCAGCGCACACAACAAGGAAAGATGCAGCCGCCCCTCGTCGGACAGCAGCGAGAGCAGCCGCAGCACAGACAGCCAAATCAGCAGCAGCAGCAACAGCGGCAGTAGAAATTTCGACCGCAACGCCTCTGTCCCGTTGACGCTGACGCTCTCCTCTCTCGTGCATTCTGCCAACAGGTTCCATCGCTGGTCTCGATGTCCTCCGTATCATCAACGAGCCCACCGCTGCCGCCATCGCCTACGGTCTCGACTCCAAGTCGTCGACCGAGAAGAACGTCCTCATCTACGATCTTGGTGGAGGTACCTTCGATGTTTCGCTCCTCAACATCACCGGCGGTGTCTTCGCCGTCAAGGCCACCGCTGGTGACACCCACCTTGGTGGTGAGGACTTCGACAACGCCCTCCTTGACCACTTCAAGAAGGAGTTTGAGCGCAAGAACAAGCTCGACATCTCGGGCGACGCGCGTGCCGTGCGCCGTCTCCGCTCGGCCTGCGAGCGTGCCAAGCGCACCCTCTCGTCGGTCACCCAGACCACCGTCGAGGTCGACTCGCTCTTCCAGGGTGTCGACTTCCAGGCCAACATCACCCGTGCCCGCTTCGAGGAGATCAACGCCGCCGCCTTCAAGGGCACCATCGAGCCCGTCGCCAAGGTGCTCAAGGACTCCAAGATCCCCGCCGACAAGGTCGACGACATCGTCCTCGTCGGTGGTTCCACCCGTATCCCCAAGATCCAGTCGCTCATCTCCGAGTTCTTCGGTGGCCGCCAGCTCAACAAGTCGATCAACCCCGACGAGGCTGTCGCCTACGGTGCCGCCGTCCAGGCCGCCGTGCTCACCAACCAGACCAGCGACAAGACCGCCGACCTGCTCCTGCTCGACGTTGCTCCGCTTTCGCTCGGTGTTGCCATGCAGGGTGACGTGTTCGGTGTCGTCGTGCCCCGCAACACCCCCATCCCGTGCAACAAGACTCGTGTCTTCACCACCGTCGAGGACAACCAGACCCAGGTCACCTTCCCCGTTTACGAGGGTGAGCGCACCCAGTGCAAGGACAACCGTCTGCTCGGCGAGTTCGAGCTGACCGGCATCCCGCCCCAGCCCCGTGGCCAGGCCGAGCTGCTGACCACCTTCGAGATCGACGCCAACGGTCTGCTCAAGGTCTCGGCCCAGGAGAAGATCACCGGCCGCAAGGCCAACATCACCATCACCAACTCGGTGGGCCGCCTGAGCTCCAACGAGATCGAGCAGATGATCAAGGACGCCGAGACCTTCTCCAAGGCCGACAAGGACTTCACCGCCAAGCACGATGCCAAGAACGACCTCGAGGCGTACGTGCACTCGGTCGAGGAGACCATCTCGAGCCCCGCTGCCAACCTCAAGCGCCCTGCCAAGATCCAGATCGAGCAGGAGCTCACCAAGGCCCTCGAGCTGCTCGAGGTGCAGGACGCTTCGGCCGACGAGTACCGCCGCGCCTCGCTCCGCCTCAAGCGCTCCATGCAGAAGGCCTTCGGTGGTCGTTAAGCGCTGCGCCTGTCGCGTTTGAGACCACGGCTGCGTGAGAGGGCGGAACGGTCGAGCGAGGGTTGGCGGTCGGCTTCTGATCTGCGAACCTTGCTCTGTCTGGTTGGATCGTGATCTGCTCTCTGATCATCGGTTCAGCTCGTTTTCTCTTACGTCAAGCTCTCCCCCGCTGCTTTGCTGTGCTTGGGCTGTCTTCCACTTGTGCTTGTAACGAGTGGGATGGCTCGAGCGTGTGTGGAGTGTTGCGGGGCAAAAGGAACTCGAGGATCGCTCAGGCCGAGCTCGTCTTGTTGCGTCTGTCTCGGCTGGGGTTGATGCAGCCCTGGACGGGACAAGGGCACGAGCCTGAGGATCTGTGCCCCCAAAGATTCCCCTTCCTCCTCCCCCATTCGACTAATGTACGCATATTCCACTTTTCCCTGCATCTTCTCGTTCCGCTTACTGCTTTTGGCTGTGCTGCATCTGGAGTGTGAGAGCGATGTGGCTTGGGACATGGATGGCATTGGAGGCGTTCATTGGCTTGATGCGGAAGGAGCGGTTACGGATTCGGACCGGCGCGAGAACGATGATGAAGACGCCATGTCTCGGTGCGCTTAGGTGCGAAGGTGGTGTAGCGAGCTTCCCCGGTGCGGGAGAGGGGGTGCAAGCGATGCGATGCAGGTCCGCATCAGGCTGATGGCGGCCAGGTGGGGGGAGGCAACGTGGACACCGACCGGACCGGTAAGAGGTGGGCTGGTGAGGCTGTCTCGCTTACACCGCAAGTCAGTCTCGAAGGCCAGTCAGCTGATATGGACCGAAGCAGCGGAGATGATGGAGATCCCACGCTAGCTTTCGAATGGGGTCTCATTTCTGGTGGGCTGAAAAAATCAAGCCGGAATAAGATGGATGCAAAAACGACCTCGAAATTCCTCGGAACTTTGGCCGCCATGGACGAGCTTCAGAATCATTCGATTCGTTGCTCGGTCAGGAAGATCGGTCCGCAACAAGCTCAGACGCTTCCGTCGAAGACGACGTTCAAACTCAGGTTAGCCAAGCAAAAGTGGAAACAAAGAGTGGCTGATCGGCATTCCGTGAAAAAGTCGGCGACTGCGGATCACATCGAGAGAAGCGTCGAAAGAAGGCCGACGACAGATGAAGCCACAATCATGGTCCCGATGTGAAGCGTAGAGCGAATCAGATCGAACGGATGCTCGCCATGCCATCTGATGGAGAGTGTGTGGATCGGGTCGAGATGCGGCTGAGAGAGTCGGTGGTGGTGGCTGCATTCCACATTCCGATGCTTGGATTCAGAAACAAGAGAGACACGGGCTGCGGTGGAAAAGAAAAGGCAGCACGAATCAGATGCTATTTGCCTTCATTCAACGCAATAGGCTTCGAGTTGGTGTGCCACATTCCGTCGGTCATCAGTGGGGTCTGCACCCTTAGTGTCCTAATTCTAGCTGGGATCGACATGGATAGAGCGAGGTCGAGCTCGAGTGCAAGCGACCTCGAAGTGAAACCGATCGGCGGATTTCGACGTGCAGCATCCATTGGGTCGTGGCGCGCGTCTGACTGATTTTCAGCCTGCCTAGGTGAAGGGAAAGGGCGCATTCCACACTTGCAGCCCGGTGCAAGTCGATTTCATTCCTGCCATCCCCCTCACGCCAGCAACGAAAAAAAGAAAGCTTTTCAAACGATTTGCGCCTCACGTGTGTGTGTGCGAGGAGGATTGGCACAGCTGTCAAAACGTCAGCCCAGCCCATGCATTCCAGCACATGCACACTCCTGAGCAGCTGCTCTCCTGCCTCTGCCCGGCGCTTGCCTTGCCTTTGCCTTTGCCTTGCCGTGCAGTTGCATCACAGTTGGCAGCAACAATGGCAGTAGCAGCTTGCGCCCCCACACACTGCCGCCTGTCAAGCTTGGCATGCTTGCCGCCGTCCCCATTCCTTACACTCGTCGATGGACTCACAGACAGCTGCTGCCGCCGCCGCCGCCGCCTGTGACCTGCATCAACATCGCAGATGCAGCTGCATCTACACCATTTCTGCGCGCCAGCGAGAGAGGCAACGGCAACTCAACCTGCACGCTGGCTTCTGACCTCCTGCGCGCTTCTGCTCTCTCCCCGTCTCCGCGCTCCCTGCAATGCGGCAGAAGCTTATTCTATCCCTCCGATATGTTAGCCGCTGCATCGCAAAGACTAGCTTCGCAGCCGCACCTCTTGCGCGCTTGGCGATCGCAGAGCCCGCGAGTCGCATCGCATCGATGCGCCCATCTCGTGTCGACTCCTGGCCTTCGGGCAGCCACAGGATCGGTGAGAGCAGCAGCTAAAGACGTCATACGCCTTCGGACAATCAGGATTTCTAGCCTTCATGCCTGTTTGTGCATTCATGCCGCACGCCATCGACACATGCGGGCTCTCACGTTGCGACCGATGCGTTTTCAGCACCATGGCGTGACTTCGGGACGCCTCGTCAAAGCGCGAGTAAGATGAAAGGAAGCTAGCGCGCCCCGCACTCGTTCCTGTGCCGGACGTTGTCCGAAAGCAGCATTCGTCTACGATGCAGACCGGGTAAACGAGGCTTGAGCCTGGTTGCATCGCATAACACCGCATCGTCTTGATCGATGGCGTCGGATGCGAATGCGAACCATCCAAGAACAGTGGACTTCCTACACATGCGACAGGAATAGCACGGGAGTTGGTTTGCAGCATGCACACTCTCACCACGGGCAGCGCAGTAGCGGGAGTGTTCACCAGACATACCCCAATGGATCACTCGGCAGGCGAGTACGTAACCTTGAGCTTGCAGATCTCGCCCTTTCCGTGTCATAGCACTTGGCGTGCCCCCGGGCCTCGATGCATCCGCCTGCTTCTGTGGAATCCCCTGCACGTCTCAGCAACGCATCCCCCACTCCTCCTCCTCCCTTCATCCGCGTCCCCTCCCTCCAGCCCGTCCCAAACATGCCTGAGAGAAACCTCACTCAACGTCGGCTACGAAGCGAATGCGGCGTGCGCCTCCAGCCCTCTTGCCGCGCCTGTGCCTGCTCTGCTCCTGCCCTCGTCCGCATCCCGGTGCCTTGCAACCAAAACAAGCTCTCGCGTTCCCTCTCCGTTCCGCCTACGACGTGCCTGCCATGTTTTGATTCAATCGCCTCTCTTCGGGGGGTCCCCCTCTAGCTGTAGCACAAGCTCCGACCCTTTCCCTGTCCTGCCAGCCCAGGCGCAAGCTCACTCGATCCAGCCCCTTTCGCGTCTGAGACCTCGGCGACCAAGGTATATAACGTACCTCTTGGCGTCCATATTCCCAATCCTCTCCCCAAGCTAGTTTTTCCCTCCCTCCCGTGCTCTGTTCTTGCTGCTGCTCCCCCTCCCCTCCTTTTCCCGTCCACGAACACCTATACCTCCGCCTTTCAGGCCTCCAACATCCTCCCACACTCTCTTTGACAACCCGTCCACCCACCAACCACCTTCTTATCCAACAATGAAGTACCTCCAGTTCCTCGCTGCCGTTGCGGCCGTCTCTGCCTTCTCCGGCCCCGTCCTTGCCGGCTCGGTCGTCGACAACACCAACCAGGTCGTCCCCGTCCAGCTCACCGGCGCCCTCCTCTCGCAGGTCGGCAACGGCCAGGTTGCTGAGCGCTCCGTCAAGGTCGACAACGACGCCCAGTTCGTCCCCGTCCAGGGCACCATCGCCGCTCTCTCGGCCGTGCTGAACAAGCAGAACGTCGAGAAGCGCCACGACAACATCGTCGAGAACACCAACCAGGTTCTCCCCATCCAGGCCACCCTCGCCGCCCTCTCCACCGTGCTCAACGAGCAGAAGGCCGCCGCCAAGCGCGACAACGTTGTTAAGAACGACAACCAGGTCATCCCCATCGAGGCTACCCTTGCCGCCCTTTCGGCTATCGCCAACGGCCAGGCCTCGCGCCGCAGCGTCGACGTCAAGAACTCGGCCCAGTTCGTGCCCATCCAGGCTACCGCTGCGCTCCTCTCGCAGGTGCTCAACGAGCAGCACGTCAGCAAGCGCGGCGACGTGGTTGACAACACCAACCAGGTGCTCCCCATCCAGGCCACCCTTGCCGCCCTCTCGCAGGTCGCCAACATCCAGAAGGCCGAGCGCTCTGTCACCGTTGACAACGACGCTCAGTTCATCCCCATCGAGGCCACCCTCGCTGCCCTCTCGGCTGTTGCCAACGGCCAGAAGGTCGAGAAGCGCACCTTTGGCGGCGACATCGTCGAGAACACCAACCAGGTGCTCCCCATCCAGGCCACCGCTGCCCTGCTCTCCCAGGTCGCCAACCTCCAGTCCGCTGGTGCTAAGCGCCACTGGAGCGAGGGCGGTGATGTTGTCGAGAACACCAACCAGGTTCTCCCCATCCAGGCCACCGCTGCCCTCCTCTCGCAGGTCGCCAACATCCAGAAGGCCGGTGCCAAGCGCGGCTACGTTGTTGACAACGACAACCAGGTCGTCCCCATCCAGGCGACCCTTGCTGGTCTCTCCCAGGTCGCCAACGGCCAGAGCGTCGAGAAGCGCGGCAAGGTCGTGAAGAACACCAACCAGGTTCTTCCCATCCAGGCTACCGCTGCTCTGCTCTCGCAGGTCAAGAACGTCCAGACCGCCGGCAAGCGCTGGGAGCACGAGGGTGGTGACGTCGTTGAGAACACCAACCAGGTCCTCCCAATCCAGGCTACTGCCGCTCTCCTCTCGCAGGTCGCCAACGGCCAGACCGCCGGTGGCAAGCGCTGGGAGCACGAGGGTGATGTCGTCAAGAACACCAACCAGGTCCTCCCCATCCAGGCCACCGCCGCCGCCTTCTCGCAGGTTGAGAACCTCCAGCACGTCGCCCGCAAGGCGCCCGAGTTCGACTCGGTTGTGAAGAACACCAACCAGGTGCTTCCCATCCAGGCCACCGCTGCTCTCCTCTCGCAGGTTGAGAACCTCCAGCACGTCGCTCGCAAGGCGCCCGAGTTCGAGCACGAGGGTGGTGACGTCGTCAAGAACACCAACCAGGTGCTGCCCATCCAGGCTACCGCCGCGCTCCTCTCGCAGGTCGGCAACCTGCAGACCGTCAGCAAGCGCGGCGAGCACGGCGACAACATCGTGGAGAACACCAACCAGGTGATCCCCATCCAGGCTACTGCTGCTGCGCTCTCGAGCGTGCTCAACTCGCAGAAGGCGAGCCGCTCGGTTGTTGACAACGACAACCAGGTTGCGCCCATCGAGGCTACGCTTGCTGCTCTTTCGCAGGTTGCCAACGGCCAGGCTAGCAAGCGCGACGGTGCTGTGATCAACGACAACCAGGTGGTTCCCGTCCAGGCGGTTGCGGCTGCGCTTTCGCAGGTGGTCAGCGGTCAGAAGACCAAGCGAGGTGAGACCAAAGAGACCGATAACGTCAACCAAATTGCACCTGCTCAAGCCACCCTTTCCGCCCTCTCCGATGTCATTAGCAGCGCGCACGCCCGCCGAGCGATGGATGTAGAGCAGTACAAGACGCTCACGTACGCCGTGGATGCGCTCCAGAAGGCGGTCGACCAGACCAACTACTCTGACAAGACGCACCACGTGGATGCCATGACGGGCACCGCCGAACACCTCACCGACAAGCGCGACTCGTCCGCCGACCCCACTGCCCTGCTTGGCTCGGCCATGAGCGGCATCTCTGTTCCCGTTGGCAACAAGGATCTGCTCAAGGGCCTTGCCAGGCGTTGGGCTGCCGAGGAGGACGCAGCCATGGCTAAGCGTCGCTCGGTTGATGGCCGTGGTCAGCGCCCGCGTCCTCGCGGCTCTTCGGAGCACAACAACAACGGTCAGTGCTCCGTTGGCGATGCGCAGTGCTGCACCCAGGTTATCAAGGACGAGGGCAAGAAGAAGACGCTCGCCGGCGTGCTTGGTCTCAACTCGCTTGCTGAGGGCGACATCGGTCTCAACTGCCAGCAGATCCCCCTCCTCGGTGGTATTGCGGCACAGAGCATCTGCAAGGCTACCCCAGTCTGCTGCACCAACGTTAGCCAGGACGGTCTTGTCAACATCGGTTGCACGTCGATCCCCATCAACTAAGACCCCGCTTCGGTGGATTCTGGTTGGTTTGGTTTCGCACGTCTCTTAGATTTTGATAGCACTTGTGCCGGATAGCATTTGGTTTCGGTTTCCTCTGGTGGTAGACACAGGATGTCTTCGCCCCCTCACGCTCTTTTACGGCCCTTCTGTTCGGAGGCCTCCTCGTCATGGTCCACATCCAACAACACCCCCGCGTACTATTGTCTTGTCTCTCTCTCCCCCTCCTCTCTCTCCCCTCAAACTAGCAGCAGCAGCACTTCTCTTGAACAATCACTTTCCCCCCCTCCGCACACAGTCTTGGTGGACACCGTGGGACTGTTGTGATGCAGCATTTTACTCCACGGTCCAACCTAGCTTCTCCCCACTCCCTCTTTCCTAGTTCCCTAGCTTTCTGCCTCGTGCTCCGTGTCTTATGCTCGATCGGGCTCTCCGCCTCCTGTACCCACCGCGCATGTGGTGGTCAGCAGTCGAGGAGGTCGCTTCTTCATGTTCGCTTCCTATAATACACCGGTCGTTACGCTATCTTGTTCGTGTCTGTGTTGAGTGGCTCAGTCTGAGGTTCTTGGCCCTGGCAAGCCGTCGGAGATCCTATTTGGTGGGTTGGCAATACCTTTCGGACACGAGGACGCGCGGCAGAGGGTCGCCGGCGGGTGCAAGTGGTGGGACTGACAACCCACCATGCATGCGCTCGGTGCTCGGCCGCCTTGCAAGTGCGATTTCCACTGGATCCGCACATGGAGTGCGTAATGCACCGTGATGAACAGCTTGCTTGCTCATGTGTCGGCCTTGCAACTTCATTTTGGATGGCGCGGCGTGGGAGTTGGCGGCGTGGCTCGCTCGCATCGCAAAAGCAAAGGTGGGTCTAGCCATGGACAATGCTCACCTGGGAAGATCGTGTCGACTCGCCACCACCGCCAACACACCGCACGGAAGCGCAGCTGGAGGATTTTAGTGGCGGCACGATGTCTTCAGAAGCACTACCAGAGGATTGGATGGCGACTGTGTGCAACGGCACCCTCAAACCAGCCGAGGCAGCAGCGTTTCTCCACCGACACTTTCACTCGCACAATGTAAGTGGGCTCGAGTCGCGAAAGGTTTTGTTCGGAAGCGGAGGCTGATGGCTGACTGGACTGGGGTAATCGCAGGAGTTCGAGGACGACATTGCCATTGTTGCTGCCACGCTCTACTGCTGGGAGTTTCTGATGTAAGTACGAGCTGTTGCGCACACGATATCGAACCGAGACTGACGAAGCTCGGGAGTGGAGACAGGACATTACCAGCGGAGCTGCGGATCTACCTGACGATACCATGGACGGCACCGCACCTGATCCTGTTTGTGCTCATGCGCTACTCGACCATGGTGACGGTGGCGATGGGGATGTACTCGACGTGGCACCGGCATCGGGGCAACTGTGTGACGTATCGCGATGCAGCGGTGCTGATGGTGCAACTGTCAGTCTCGGCGGTGCTGGGATGGCGTACGGTGGCGATTTGGCAGAAAGACGCGCGGATCTTTGTGATTGTTGCGCTGCTGCTGATCACGTTGATGGTGTTTTCGTCGCTCATTGTGCTGGGCACGCACGTGCAGCCGGTGAGCAGTGGCGAATGCATCCTGACGCGCGGCGATGTCGAGGAGCTCTTCCCGCTCGCGTGGTTCTACGCCGGCACGGTGGCGTACGACACGGCCGTCATCGTGCTCAGCACATTCCGGCTCTGGCAGCACCACAATGACGTCGGCGTGTTTCCGGGGGCCAATGCGGACGATAGCAGGCGATGGTGTAGCTGGATCAGCTGGTTGCATTCGCAGTGGAACAGCGTCACGCCGTTGCTGTTTCGGTTGACGTCCAACGGCGTACTTTATCTTGGATTTTCGACGGTGTTTAATGTGGTGTGCTTTGTGGTCAGCTACGATAACGAGGACAGGGCGCAGGATCTGCTGCTGCTGTACTCGTCGGTCATGTGGGTCGTCTGTCAGCATCTCATGCTTCTCGAGATAAGGGCGACATGGGGGAATAGCTCGGCGGAGCAGAAGTTCGGCGACAAGAGAGGACCGACGGACGATAGCGATGCGGATCGACTCATCGCACAGATCCTCCAGGCGTCGTGGTCACAAAAGGCACGAGGGGAGGCCAAAACTCCAGCGAAGACGGATGGGGGAAAAGACATCGAGCTCGGACCTACGCTGCAGATGGGGTGTGGATGTGGACCCGGGGTTGGATGTAGCTGCGCGGGTGTTCGAGAGTCGTTGGCGCTGTCGCTACGCGATTTGGCGCTGGCACGGTCTCGGACGTCCGAGTGCGATACAAGCAAGCTGAGCGTTCAACAGCTGCATGACTTCCGCCCCTCGATGCCAGGCGAGAGCTACGATGGCTCGGCGCAGTCGTCGATGCACCGCGTCCAGACGGCCGAAGCCGACACATCGAGCACTGCGCTTGTCACGGATCCGCTTGACGAAGCTGTTGATGGCGTCAGCCGTGGCTTCCGCGGTCGACTGAGCGCAATTTCCAACAGCCCTACTCGACTCTTTGCCACCTTCAAGACGCGTAGCGATTCACCCGCGCTCGACCACCCGCTACAAGATCCTGCTTCTTCGCACTGCTGCGCTGTGGTGCAGAAGGCTCCTGTTCGACGTCGACGTTTCTCGCAGGTGATCGAGAAGGCTACCCAGGTGTCGGCGGTTGAGCCGGCGGGCGCGTGCAACTGCCGTCGTCCGCGCCGAAACACGCTGGGCACATTCCAACCGCCCACCACCGATCTGCAGGCTTGCGCGGACCATTCGAGTATCAGCTGCGGGAGGAAAGCACAGGGGATCGAGGTCGCCGCGATGCTCGCCAGCATGTCGCCCGATGACAAGGCCGCCGCGCTCGCTCTGGCCGGTATGGACGCAAACCCAGCACTGCCATCGTATCCACCCTTCGCTTCGACGATGCACCCACAGAGAACCAGCCCTGCGAAAGTTCCAGCGACAATCTGGATGATGCAGCCGCCACTCATCTAGATACGCCCAGATAGATCCGTCCTGATCAAGAGCATTCGACCGATGATGATCCGATGTCAAGATGTGGCAGACTGGCTTAACAGGTGCAAAAAGTCGCTTCTGCGTCGACACGACGGAGCCATCTACGCGACACGAGCGACGCGCGTCAAGTGGAAGAAAAAAAATGGTTCCCGGCCGGGGAATCGAACCCCGATCTCAGCAGTTCACCTGCGTGCGCAGAGAGTGAAAGTGCCGTATACTAACCGTTGTACTAACTGGGATGGTCTTTATAGGCACAGCAGAATGTAGCATAGATAATTATCAAACGTTTCTTTGGATTGGAGGCTGGGGCTACAGCCATCGATGATCTGCCTGCATTCTCACTCGACGTTCTTGGAGATGTTGTGTTGATGCCGTTTGGCCAAAGCAGCAATCGCGAAGTACGATCCTGGACTCCATGGTCACGGAGAGACGGCGCACGATATCAGAGGTGTGTGTGGGGAGGCGGAAAGTTTTGAGCGGCGGATGATTTGTAACGGTGCTGTAAGAAGTGTGCTGCGCGCGGCGCGCACCGAAGAAAGGGTGAGAGAGGGAGGAGGAGCGGCCGTGGGAAAGGCGGGCCAAGTGGGCGACGAGGAGATGCACCAAAATGGAAAAAGGAAAAAAAAAAGCCACGCGCAGGTCCAAAGTCAGGAGTTTCAGCAAGCAGGGATCGTCGTCGTGCCGCAACCGCCAAGCAAGACGGGGGCCAAGGCTGCTACCTGACATGAGAGACGCAATGATTCGGAGAGAAAGTGTGCCGTTGGCGTTCGTATTTCGCAGAAAGGAAGAGCCCAAGGCTGAATGAGAGTGAGTGGGCGTGCAGAGGAGGCGGCGTCGGCTTGGCTAAAAACTCGACACGGCCAAAGCACGCGCAGGCGGGAGAGGCGGATGGAAGAGGGCGGCTCAGCCGGCCAGCCGTGAGCATCGGGCGGAGGAGGAAGAGGAGGGGAGGCGGAAGCAGATTCCAGAGTTTTTGCACTTTTTCATTTTTTCGTCGGTGAGGCGGCGTTGTTGCTGCGCTTTTTTTTCCCTCGTTTCTGCAAGGCAGCAGCGAGGCAGCATCAGCGGCAGCAGCAAGGAACGAACCCCAAGCAAAGCAAAGCAAAGCAGCCCTGCGCCAGTCAAAGCAGTTGCAGCAGCAGCAGCGCATCACCACCCACGCCTTGGCTGCTAGGCTAACCCCAAGCGCAGCGCAGCGCAGACCCAGCCAACCCAGCCAACCCAGCCAAGCCCAGCCCAGTCAATCCAGCGACGTCCGCAGCCAACGCCCGCCTCTCTCTCGCCATCACCCTCTATTCGAGAAGACGACGTTGACGACGACGACCTCCTCCCTCTTCTTTATCACGAAGCGCGAGGGTCCTCTTCTTCTTCCGTTTCTTTCTTCTTTCCCTTCCCCTCCCTTCTTCTTTTCGTAAGGGTCTTCTTCTCCTTCTTTGGATCAACACCCGTCTTTCGCTCGGTTTCGAAAGGCGCGCTCCGATTCAACAAACAGCGAGCTCAGGTCTCGCAACAGCCCCGGTCTCGACGCTAGGCTCGTCTTGGCGACTTGGATTCTCCCAGCTTCGACTTGCGACTCGTGGACTTTGGCTTGTTTCCTGCCCGTTCTCGACTCGTCCTGCTCCGGCCCTGATCGTCTCGACCGCCAGCATCCGATCTCCATCCCCCCAAACCGCGCGACATCCGAAGCAGCACGCCCAAAAGCTGCTTGGCATCTCGACATCCAATCTCTGCCCATGTCGAGTGAATCGCAACCAGCGGGCAACACTAACAACGTCGCCGCCGCTGGTCCCAACGGTGATGCAACCGCAGCCAACTCTCGTCGTCAGTCTGCAGTAAGCCTGCCAAAAGGTGCCGCCGCAAACCCGCGTCCCGCCGCCGCCATCAACTTCGGCTCCGTTCACGACCAGAACGCCATGCTCTCCTCCTCCCCCGCCGCTCAGCCCAGCTCCGGTCAGCATCTCCACGGCGAGAAGCCCACCGT